GGAAACAAAATCGATTGATTTTCTAAAAAAGACCTTGTGAATTTTTGATGTAGACGGCACCGAGTCTCCAAACACATAGTATCTACTTTAGATACTTCAAAAAGAATGGCATATACGCGTATGACGTAAACGAGGTGGCGAGGTTCGTTTGCCCTCGGCTGACTCGGGCCAACCGGATATGAAACAGACTCCCAAGGGTTAAGAGACATTAATGGACTAACAGGACCGTTAATGATTCATTAGCTCGTAGCAGGACCACAACGGTTAGCCAGCCGTTATAGCTTGCGTGGACATTCGAGGAGCCAACTTTAATAGCGTTTAATTTCGTTCCCGTCCTCGGGCTGAACGATCTTTTCCAGCTAATCGTTAACAAGTATCGTTTAAACTGTGTTATACGTTTTATAAATTAACAATCACAATCAATCGAATCGACTTGAACGATGAATCTTCGATCCCATGGAACCTACTTACCTAGGTACCTGGCAATTTCGTTAATGTAACTTCAGACCTTGACACGTGTACCTGATTTTTCGTTGCTAGTTTACAATTAGTTGACTGACATACACGAGAGACGAGCTCGCGTTAGACAATGTTAACGTATACGGTGCTCCAATCATAAGACAGAGCAATCATGAGAACGAACCGGCCGACCTACAAATCGCAAATTCGACCTTCTTCCAACCTGTCTTCCCGGTCACTCTTCCTGCTTCGAAAGAGGTTTTAGGGTCTCGAGACACGATATGTACGATATGCATAACCGTTGGAAGGGAAGGACAATCTTGCACGCATTCATGCCACTTGACATTACGTTTGCATTCAAGTCTATTCCGTTTTGAGCTCGGAAACAATACGGTAATACTTGAACGTGAATGAATATCATAGAATATTTATCTATCTGTTCGCGTACCAAAAGAAGACCGAGCTCCATCAAGCTAGAAAGTCAGGAGGGCGAGAAAGTCACGAATCGTGCATTTGCACCGCCCAATTCTTTTCTAATAGGTCCACCGCGTGACGAAATACGCGAATGAGACGAAATAATACAGGGATATCGAATATCGCTACGTCGCGTTCGGTCGTATTTTGTTTCGTTCCCGTAATTCGTCACGCAGTGAACCTATTAGAAAAGAATTGGGCGGTGCATGATTCTCCTGGCCACTGTGACTTTATAGCTTGATGGAACTCGGCCTTCTTTCTGGTGTGCGAACAGATATATCGTGGCGTGCATTCTTTAAATATAGTTGCGTAAGGGTTAAACCGTATAACGCAACAAACCTAATTCGAGAAAATTTTCTATACAATAAAACATATTTTGAATGATTCTTTTTACGGTTAGACTTTTGAAAGTTTCTAAACACCATAACAATCGTACATATTAACTATTTTTATTTTTTTTTATTTTGAACAATATATAAGGCGTCGAACATTTCTAAATTTTCTACGCAAGATATTTCTTGTTTGCTCGTTAGATAAGAAAAGAAAGATAGGAACCCTAGGGTCAACTGCTGAGAAGAATGTACATACTGTTCCCGGCATCGTTCAACAGAAGAAGACGGGAAACAAATAGAAAATTTCGAGGTAGAATTTCAAAGTATGGAAGAAATGGGTCAGCAATAAATTATCATTCCTTTTTCTGCCGTTGGTTCGATAAGAAAAGCAACTATTGTGTAAATTACCGGTATCTGCGATACACGGATTACTTGGAGAAGAAAGGGAACTGACGTTCCTTTGTAGCTGGAACTTTTTCCATCAGGCATTTCACCTGCCGGAAAAGAGAATGTGGAGCATCGATTGCGAGTGGCAGCAGACCTGTTTCTATTTGACAACAGATCGCTCAGTTCACTACACTGCGAAATATAGACTGTAGACTATAGATTGTAGACGCAGGGAATAACGTGAACAACGCTTTTCAATTCGCTTCTTCGCTTGGTGTCGATATATACCTTTGCCTCGTAAACTTCCTGTCCGCTATCGTTCCCTACCAATTCACCGATCGTCTCGCGAATATTAAATCGATATTCCGTGGAAATCGATACTCGTTAATAGTTTCTCGTGCAACGAAGACGAGTAGTGGAAGGCGGTGTATAAGATGAAACCGGTTTAATTTCGCGCCGATTAACTGGAAGGTGTGCGTTAAATCCGGCGAGAGCAGTCGGCTTTAGGTGGACAATAATTCTTCCGTGGCCTTACCAGTCGCTCCGTGAGAAGAAAAACAGACGAAAAGGTAAAGAGTAAAGAAGAATCGGACAGAAGAGGAAGGAAACGAAGGCAAAAGGAGAGACGAAGAAGCGCTTGCTAAGTCTGAATGCATTCACACGGATCTCGTTTCTGACGACCTCCTTTGCCTTCTTTCCCCGCGGAAAGTTCGTACGCGTACCTAATGTATATAAATTTCTTATTAAAAATTTCATTTCAAAACGGCTTTTGCCTGCTCCCTGATACTTGTTACATATTTCCAATAATGAGAAATAATTTCGAGTAAATGAATGTCTTGTTTTCGATTGAAATTTTATCGAAACAAAATATCGCATCGGTAAGCAAAGGAAAATAAAAATCTGAACATAGGATGGAACGGTACAGAGATCGTTTCTTTCACGACCGATCGAATGTCACACGGAAGAAAGAGAGAGTTTCAATCGGAACTGGTGGCATTTTGCAACGCGATGCAACGCATCGCAACGGAAGGAAGATTTTTGTTGATCGAATGGAAAAGAATGCAGGAAAAAGACGCGAGTGTCGAGAGAAAGGTGAAGAAGGAGAGACTAAGAAGACCGGACGATAGGTCGATGAACTGGGCAGCACGGACCCCAGGGCCCCTTCTGTTCCTCTTTTTCTTCTCGCCAGTTCTCGTCGGCAAAAGTTTTGCATAGTCGCTTCGACGTACGGTCAACGAGCAGAGTACACTTCTCGAATGGCAGTGCAAAGTAAATGGTTGAACCCGTTCACTGAAAGGAAATAAACTCGTTCGTTTCGCCAAGCTGGAATCATCGCGTTACGCGTGAAATTCTTCTACGAGCGACACAATGTTTTGTTACAGACCGGTTCGACGGCAAAATGAAACGTACCGATTTCTCCGCTCGTAACTTTCAGTGTCGTGGGTGAACTGGCTTTGCGAGTTTCGGTCGATCGTAGCAGCTCGAACGGATATCCGGCGAATCGTGCGGTTGTTGGCCGTGCAAAGTTCTACATTCCCGATTTCTCCGACCGAGAGAATCGTACTCGAGGCGAACGCGCGCGCGTCTACTTGTGCGCACGCATGGACGCATGCACGCATGCACCCATGCACCCATTGCACCCATTGCACGCAAGAGACCGGGCAACAAACTATACGTACACGGTATAGCTACTCGTTCCACCTCGTTGCCCCTTTCATCCTCGAATTCGTCCGTTTTGTCTTCAACTAATAAGACCAACTTCTTTCCTCCTTCTCATTTTTTTTTGTTTTTTATTTAAAAATTGAGTTGTGTTTCCTTTGTGTTAAACTCGCATCATTTTAGAGGAATTTTTCAAACGGATGGAGAGATCAAGAACGTTCTACCAAAATGCACTCTTCGAATCTGTTATCTTCGATAACCGTATTTTTCTTATCTCTCGTACGATGTAATGCGTCATAAATAGTGAACGTTCGCTTGTATCCATGAATTTAGGTGCTGCGCCCTTATTTGTATTTCAAGCTTGCTGGGACTACATTTTAGGTCTTAGAATCTAGGACTCTAGCAGCTAGAGGAAGTAAGAAACTTTTAATAATCCGTCGGCATGCTCGAGTACTAACAAACAGAAGTAAGAGATTTCGATGAATGAGCTTCGAGCGTAATTTATAAGAAAACGAAACGGAATGAAATTGTGGTCTGGTCGGAAACGTGGCGTCAAGCGTGCGACGAATCGCATGCACGCGGCCTGTTCCTGACACACTGATCCAATTTCCATATGCCTTATCGGACTGTCCATTCCGTTCGATCGGTTTAGCTATTGGCTATTGGCATTTGGCTAGGTGATTTCGCTTGGGCTGGCTTAATTTTCTCGATTTTACTTGTGCGATTGGCACAACTAAACAAAATTACGATCGAAGATTGAAACGAAAAATTGATTTTGAAATTCGCATTGCGTGTAAATGAATTATCGTAAGAGGATAACGTGGACAACAGGTTTCAATCGCGCGAATGATATCACGTCCGCGTAACATGACTATGCTCGATAAGGGAACAGACACACGGATTCAATCAGTTAATACCCTATACTGTATATCGAAAATCGCTTTCTGTCGAGCTCCATTCGTAGGAAAAGGGGAAAAGTATTCCGTGAGTCGAGTTTGCTTTCATTTGCTCGCAGATTGAAAAAGTTCGCAGCTTTCCGTGGTGTATAGGAAGAAGGCCGGCACGCAAACGCAGCCAGAGGCATTCGTGTCCATTCAACTTTACGACTCCTGCGCACGAGGACGATTCACGGTTAACGAACGCTTTGTTATCCTCGTTAGAGGAAACTAGCTGGAAGCAAATTCCCGTCGCCTCTAATGAGCTTAACGGACCGGAAGTGTACGATTTCTTAGGATGGAGGAGAAGCAACAAAAGGCTGAAAGCTGGAAGTAATTTGGAGAGAAGCGAGTTGCGCACAGATGCCCGGAACTAGCTCGACCGATCGAAGGAGCGCGAACGGCTGGAACGCGGAAAACGGAAAACGGAAAAACTTTTCGACTTCCGCAATTCCTTTCGATATAGAAAAGCACATCGATCGATACGATTTCTCACACGTTGCAATCCGGCGTGCACCTTCGTTCCTTTTCGATGCAACTGGATTACTGAATTACCGGATGCACACCCTGTTAACCCTTTCCCTTTACCCGGCAACCACTCTCACGGGGCTTCGTATATTTTACAGCATTCTCTTTCCAACCAATCGTCAATATTGATCGTAACGATACCGGTTCCTTCGGTCCCGATCATGCTTGAATTTCCCGCCAAATTTCTGCGCGACGATAAACAAAAGGAAAAAAGTACAATACTCACGTTCGCCGATAGTTTTGATTTGGAACAGTCTCGGAATACGTTTTTTCCACCAAATAGCAAACGCGGAACATTCAAATGCGTCGATCGAGCATGATGACGCTAATCCCTAGATACCGATCGACGCGTAAACGCGATCGACGCGGCTGTCTTTCTTTGATTGATTGCAAATCTTCGTTGACGATCACCGGTATTCGATCGAAAAAAATTCCGCTTCGATTTTCGCGTTACAGTAGCGGCAAATGATTTTCACGACTGCAAAAGAGAAAACGAGAAACGTTTGTAATATGGGAATGAGAGGCGAACGGAAACGGAGCGGCGTATCGAAGCGACGCGACGCTCGCGAACAGTGACGGTAGACTGAGCTTCCTCGCGACTCGCAGAGACGCTCGGTCGCTCGGCGCAGCTTTGACGAGCCGACGTTGTTCCTCTACCTACACAGCCAACTTGCTGAGAAACACCCACAAACAGCCACTCGAAACACGACCACGAGAATCAACACCAGCGCAGATTCGTCGCGTACTTAAGTACGCGTATTGTGCACCATCCTCTGCACTCCGCAGAGTCTAACTTGCTGCACAATTAATGCATACGTGTCTCTCTTCTCGCCTGTCTATCTATCCTCCTATCCTTCCTATTCTCCCTAGCCTGATTCACGCGCTGCTTATCGGCTTTTTAAAATATTCCTTGATGCTGGCTCGATTAAAAAATTCTGCTCCATTACTCGAATGCGAAATATTGGCAAAATACTTACAATTAGTCTATCGCGAATATGAACGATAGCAGGAATAAAGACCTTTCCTAGTTGAGAAAAACGAGTCTGTTGATGGGTTAAACATCGTTAATATCGGTGTCATTAAAGTCGTCTATATCCTTGAACAGTTTGTTTGATAAATTTTTATCGTCCATCATGAGGTAGACTTTTCAATGTCCATCCATCCAGGTATAATAAGTCAACTACGGGAAAACGGGAGAGGATATGTGGTACAGTCGATGGTTCGGTTTGTCGTAACTAGAGGACGCCAATGCGGTTGATTGTAACTAACAAATGCCTTACGCCTAACTACTTACATAACTTGTTAATTACAACGGACGTCTCTATTCGTAGGAATGATATTACTATAGATTAAAATTTATTCAAGTTAGATGGTATTCTTGAGTTAACGAAATTATTATCTATACTTCTATAGATAAACGAAAGCATGAATGTATGGTGTTCCGTGTGTTTTAAATAACATCGAATAAGTTTTTTCTTCTCAATAATTTATAGACAGTTGGTAATTTAGATCACAATGCTTAATTATTAAATATCATTTTTCTAACGATTAAAATCAACGAAATCTAATGGGATAATCGATTGAAGTATTTACCTAAATATTATCTATTAACTTGTTACACAGAAACTTTTTTACAATAATGAAATCGATCAACTTATCTCATTAGAATTAAAGCTACTAGCGAAGATAGAACCATGAACGTAAATGCAACCTGTGAAGTCGCCGAATTGCATTCATCTGAATCACAAACTGTACATCCTTTCATGTCGTCAGTGCAAACTGTTACGTTTTTGGAAGCGCATCCTCTGATTTCGTTGTTTTCCCCCCGATCTGTAAACAAATAATAGCTGTTATATTCTTGTGTTGTATACTTTCATCCATTTTATCTAACCAACTAATTTTTACGTTAAAAAAAAGAAAAAAAAAACAACATTGTGCGATGAAGAAAGAACTTACTTATAACGAAGCATTGCCATATCGCTTCGTTTTCATCCAACGGCTGTACTAACGGAAAACGGCCGATTACGCTTCTACGTTTTCTCTCAGTTCTAACAACAACTGTAAAGAAAATAAATTGTTAGTATCTTTAAACGTTATTATACACTAAATACCACGCTATTCCACCAAATCTCGTAGATGACACAAATACAGTCTTCAATTATTATTACATTTTGATAATGCTAAACCTCCGGTAAATTAATTTTATTTCATCTTGTTATTCTTATGAACATACCGTTCAATGTTTCTGGCAGCACTCCCGTTGTTCCGTTAGTTGTAACTTCTGCAGGTGCTCCCGTTGTTCCGTTAGTTGTAACTGCTGGAGGTGCTCCCGTTGTTCCGTTAGTTGTAACTTCTGCAGGTGCTCCCGTTGTTCCGTTAGTTGTAACTTCTGGAGGTGCTCCCGTTGTTCCGTTAGTTGTAACTGCTGGAGGTGCTCCCGTTGTTCCGTTAGTTGTAACTTCTGGAGGTGCTCCCGTTGTTCCGTTAGTTGTAACTGCTGGAGGTGCTCCCGTTGTTCCGTTAGTTGTAACTTCTGGAGGTGCTCCCGTTGTTCCGTTAGTTGTAACTTCTGGAGGTGCTCCCGTTGTTCCGTTAGTTGTAACTTCTGGAGGTGCTCCCGTTGTTCCGTTAGTTGTAACTTCTGGAGGTGCTCCCGTTGTTCCGTTAGTTGTAACTTCTGGAGGTGCTCCTGTTGTTCCGCTAGTTGTAACTTCTGGAGGTGCTCCCGTTGTTGTTGTTACGTTAGTTGTAACTTCTGGAGGTGCTCCTGTTGTTCCGTTAGTTGTAACTTCTGGAGGTGCTGCCGTCGTTCCGCTAGTTGTAACTTCTGGCGGTGCTCCCGTTGGTTTGCCGGTAGGTGGAATGGGTAACGCAGGACATTCTGCTATCTTATCCTGGTTTAGATTGTTACAATCCTCTCCATAGCAAACGTAACATTTTAAACTATTTCCTAGTTAAAAAATTACAGAGCTGTTAATGTCAAATTGGCATAATTATTTGCATATTCAATAAAAAGACGTATATAGAATTTAAAAGATACACTATCTCATTAATTAGCTGTTAAGACATTAGATAGGTTTTTAAAAATATTATTGATGAAACTGTATTTAGAAATATAACGCGATAGTAACATTCGGTTAGATGAATTTTTTTTATGTTTATGTCTAGTTCTTTACCTGGTTGTGTAACTGTAAGTCCTAAAATAGCCAGTATAGCGAGAAGCCTGTATTCCCTCATATTTGCTGATTGTCCTTTTCAATTAATGTCGATACTATGATTGTTGGTACGCGACTGCTGCAAAGCTTGAAGAAATAGGAATATTCTTACCGTGCTTATCATGATAAATTTGCGCTTATCTGCGAAGAGTCCTCCAATCAATACCATTACCTTGGCGATATATGATTAACGCTCACGCAAAAAAGAAAAAATCAGATATCATAAAACCGTTGTTCCCTTTTATCTGTTCATATTTCTTTGCCATGTTCATCCCTCTAGTTACCTGACTCATTCGCAGGAAGTAATACCTATCGATAGTTTTTTCATCACTGTACGTATTTTCATCTGATTTTGCAATTACAATACTTATATCTCATGTCTGAAGAAATCAATGGAAAGATGTGTCACGTTATCAATAATGTTAAACAAATCAAGTGTGAAAATGTTACTTATTGCTTTATCAGATGAAAAGCAAAAAAAAAAGATCTAATATTTATTTTATTGATTTATTCGATATAGGTATAGAATATTTGGTAGTAATACGCATGTAAAAGTATTACGTCGAACTATCGGTACATAGGTATAATCATAGTTTCAACTATGGTTCTTACACTTATCGTACCATTAACGCGATAAACAATCTCGAATAGATAATAATAACGGTAATCAATACGTTGTGAATGATGCGCTGAAAAGATAAAGATAAAGAAGAAGAAAAAATTCTTTTATCAAAAGATGTATAATCAATATTGAATACACTTTTAATGCTCTACATTTTACAGCAACAAATTCTTGGAAGTGTAAAATTTAAAAATCTCTGTTAAAATTCGTGCCACTGTGCAGATACAATTTCCTGATCAAGTATAAGATGCAATCGTTAAGTCAATGAATTCAACAATAAGATCACTCTGTACGATCAATATCAATTTTCTCTTGTAATTAGAAGTGCCAATTGGCAAATTAATCATCTAAAAGTGTACGGAATAAGCGGATGAGACTGAATAGAGAATTAGTCAATCTGTTAAAGATCACTATAAATTATTCGCAAACTGTTTCTCGTATTGGACAAATGTTTCGAATAGAAATTGTACGTGTTATCAAAAAAGATATACTTACAGTCTAGGAATCGGTTATCTATTTATCAAGATAAAAACGTTACTTTTATAATTTAAAACTAATAACTCAACATTTTCCTTTTAATTGAAAAAAATGTAATACAATGAAAATTGTTGATAGGTAGGTATGTATCGATTTGTGAAATACTCTTCTTCTGAATAATACCGATCGCAATTTATTCTATATTGCAACAAAGTGTTTGTTTTTCCGTTATCTTGACCGTAAACGAGGCGATTTTCATTATCACATGATAAAACAAATCGCTTATTCTTAGGTGCGATTAAAGGTGGTAGGTTCTCGACGAATTGAATAGCGTCGAAGTTTATATGTATATTACCACTTCAAATCATACCTAAGCCATAAAAGATTATTGTATAGTCATTTTGATCAGATTTAAGCAATGTATATGATTTTTCTATACGCTTTTAGCAGATACGATAACTATAATACTTTGATGATTTTGATTACTATTTTGTACCTTCGTATAAGACGGGACTTGTATGAATGTAATAAGAAACTATTTTCGTTTCGTAGGATCCCGAGGCAGGATTTCTCTCAGCTTTGAAAAAATACTTGCCTACGATCACAAAGCATGTTGGATAAACGTTTCACAATGCGACGAAGATGTTCAAGTTACTTGTGAATCATAAAACTGTATAACTTGAAATACATCGAAATTGAATATTCGGCGTAATCCCTGTTTCTTTCGTCGTATCGGCTCTTATCGGCTAATTAAGTGTCTGGCAGATCTACAATATCTATTTTAATTTCCACATCGATCCCGTGCGTATATCTACCTATACAATATAGATACACGTTCACTTGCTCTTTGTTTTCGCGTGTTTTTTAAGCTTGTTTACTTGGTCATTCGAGAAGGTAGTGATGCAAAATAACTTTCCCGTCAAAACATTGTTTCGCCATTGTTCTTTCACGACTCGACGATTTTCCACTTTGGCTACCGCTTACACGTAGTACCAGTCGTACATTCTACGTACATAACTCAAGTATAATCGTTTCGTTTTACTACTGTATCATTGACATTGAGAAAGAACGAAGCATTTCCGCCTTTCGAGTAGCCATTACCATGCATTTAGCCTCCAGAGTTCAGAGTAAGAAATTCCCGGAATGGGTCAGAGAAAGTCTGGGTTCATTGTTGTTTCAAAGTTTCTTTCTATCTTCGTTTCGAGTCAGATGGCATACTTTCTTAAACTAATCACCGGCAACTAATGATCATTAATCTGACGAGATACATCATGCCGCGAATGAAAATGAAATCAAGGTTTCTGCTTTCTTGAACATTTAACGTTAAACAACGAAACATCAAAACGTATGTAGTTACAATATCAGAAAGGAACACGTGGATGCAAGGTGGAGTCTCGTGTCAATACCGAAACAGATGAGGGAGGTGGTGCAAGTGGCAAGTGGTCAAGTTCAGGGCCATCGAGATCCAATCGGCCATTAAAATTACAAAACAAGATTCTCCGGTGATTCTGTACCAACTTTCACTGTATTCGCGCCACGTTATAAGACACGCCTTGCAAATCGACAACGCGTTTTCGTTATGAGATTCGAATGCAAACTGGAGGGACGCAAATTTTCGAGAATTAACAAAATTAATCTGCGTATATAGCGCAAAGAAATACTGGCTAGTGTACCGAAAAAGATAGTTGGGTGTTTTACACGGTTGGCGAGAAAAGGTAACGCAATCGCATCTCCCGCTGCGATAGCAGCTAGCAGCCAGTGACGGTAACGAGAAGGCTAAAGCCGACGAGTTTGCGTTCATGATCATGCTAGGGAAGAGGTAGGCTACTGGCCAAGTTCACGGCTAACGAGATTCAATCTGGTCGTACGTTTCTTTATTCGGAATAGCCAGCGTAAAAGCAGCATCTTCTATTTGCGGAAAAGACGCTGTAAAATCTGAACCTTATCTCAACCCCGAATAACCATCGATATTTTAAAAGCTACGTTTCTTCTCTATAATTGCACCTTCCTCTTGTCGTTATCGCTTTTCTTCTGTTTTTTAAAGTAAGACGTTGCTTTTATTTCATTCAACCCAGAGCAGACATCCGTTCGCTCGTTTTATCCCTGTTTCAAACCTTTACCCCTTCCGTTCCGTTCCGTTTCACGTCAAGCAACGTAGCGTCAACATTTTCTTCGTTAACCAACAGAAGAGTTCTTATTGTTAACGCGTTGGATTGTTCGAACGTATTGAAAAAAATTCATAACGTGTAACGCGAAGGAAAACGCAGTGACATGCAAAAATGTTTTATGCAAAAGAAAGAATCATGTAACGTGTATGCAACTCTTATTTGATGCAAAGTTTTTAAGAATGCCGGAGACCGAAAGGGCTTTGCGAATCCCAAGGTATATTCTCCTTGCTCCGCCCATCGCCGTTTCCACACGTTCTCGTTCGCCACGCAACATAAGCCCCCTTCTGCCGTCTGCATCCTGGAATGCGGTTGTGCCACTCTATACCGATACTCCCGCCTACGTTATACGTATACTCAGCAAAGATGCACACGTAACAACGTAGGTAACAATCTTATGACGGAAGACGCGCAATCGACAAGTAATTCTTCGAAAATTTTATCCAAATTTTGAATAAATAAAGGCGAGTCTCTGAGAAACTATTTGTCCGTCTCGCAAAGGCAATAAAATATCTTTCTTCAAGATTCAAACGAGACAAAGAATCGCCGAACCGCGCTGCGTCGCGTCTTCTTCTTCCTCGTCATCTTTTACAGAGAGAAATTTCCCTAATGCAACGATAGCATTAGACCAAAACAGCTGAAAGTGTTTCTTTTCATTTATTCGTTATACTAGATCGATAAGTAGGTATTTAATTAATTGAATAAATATTGCAGCATCGTTCGAGGCCTTAAAAATGAAAAGTCAATTTGGACGGTATAGATTTGTGCGTGGATCGATGTCACGGTAGAAGGCTGCTTCGAACTGGTCGTTTATTAAATTCCTCCTCGATGTCTCGAAGATTCGGCGGTTCGACGAATCCACTGTCATCGTATCGAGTACACCGTGAACCAGGTGATCTAGGAGGATGCACTGGATGTATGCTGCAACGACAAACGCTATTCGTACTATTTATAATCGCGATACTAACCTTGGCGTTTGATTTAATATTTCTGTAACCTTGAGGAAAGTTTCAAGTGGCTCGAGTATGTAATTACCTGGTGCATCTGGAGGGGCTGCTTTCCAAGGGTTCGTCGTATCTTCGCGAAAGCATCGTAAAGTCCCGATGCGCGGCAACCATTTTCTGTAGCCGTGAAATTAGCTCGTAATCGGGCGTGCAGATTGGCTCTGACAATAGTTTCACCACGGAGACACGGAAGCTTTGCAACTGTAACAGGAAATTAATGATTTGCCAGTTGAAAGCGTGTATTACTTGTCACCTAAATCGCAATAGAGACGGAGCCTCTACGTTTTCCAGTTTTTTTTCCCAGAAATTATTGTACTTTACCAAGCATCTTTTCGTGGATATTAATCGATCAAGCGATTAACCGATTGAACGATAAATGTAGATATTTAATGAGAATTGGAATTTCCTTTTAACGATTTACAATCGTCTCGACGTTTGTTACATTTTACTGCAAACATTTACACTGTGATTAAAGAGAATCGAGATAACGTTGCCGGAGAATATACGACAATCGAGCCCAATCGAAGATTTCAATGTAGAACCGCGATTATACGAATGGATATCATCGAGTGTCATCCAAATTGCTTCAATGGATTAACGAGCCTGTTGGCCTCTACATTTGAACAACCGTATTCGTGATACGCATACTCGCAAGTATTGTTAGCATGTATGCAATCGAGACGCGAGATCAGAAAATTTTCGATGGCGCAAACTTTGCTCGATTGCGTACGAATACGGGACGTGAAATGAACACAATTGGAAGTTTCATATTCTTTCAGCACACAGTATACTTTGACCTCGCGACTAAGCGTTTTTGGCGATCAAATCGCGAGTAAGCGAACGCATACGCATCGTCATCAACAATGAATCACATGCAAGACAGTTGGTTGCGTGCTGAATACGAAATTCGGTCAACCTGTACAAATTCTTTTTGACTTTGCTAACTTTATGAATTATACCTACGAAACAACCGGATTCTCGTTTCGAACCGTTCTATTTCGTGCCCTTCCGGTCTCGATAAATCGTTTTTCTTTGACAGAAAATTCTGTCAGGCAGTAAGCTGAATTTAATTAGCAACTTCACAATTTGTATTCGGTGTTATAAGTACAAGGTTATTCGTATGATTTGAATGGCCTACTTGAGACTCCCTTTTGGTAACCTCGGACAGATTCTGCTTGACCTGAGATAGCTCGTCTCTAAGAAGTTGCAACGAATGATCGTTTATAGACCTCTCTTGTTCGGCACTCTCGGTCACATTTCTCATCTGTTCCTTCAACATCGTTAACTTCCGGTTGCATCGAGTTCTGAGCATCTCGCTCTCCACCAGACGCTTCTGAAGCTCCTCTATCTTTCGACTGCGCTCCAAAGCGGCTATCTATTTTCAAAAAAATACTTTTACCGCAGAGGTATCGACGATAAATCATCGAATCGGATTTTACGACGTACCTTATAATCCGCTGCTTCCGTCAATTGCGCGCTTAGTTCGCGATTTCGCGATTTCTCCTCCGAAAGTTGAAGCTGCAACCGGTCAATTTGCTTCGACAGTTTCTTCACCCTTCGAATCAAATTTCCGAAATAATATCATTGCACAAAATGTTTATTTATATGCAACGATTTATTACAGAATACGTAGGTACCGACCGAAGATTAGCTTCGTCTCTCTCGCTTTGCAATAACGATTTCATTCTGACGCTGTCTTCTTGAAGCGACAACTTTCTACGAAGAAGATCCAGATGAAGATCCCTGCGCTGCAATTGTTCCCGAAGCGTTCTTACGCGGCGTTGCAGTTGATACACCACCGATGTCTAACCAGAAACAGAAGGAAAGAAGAAAAGAAGAAAAGAAAGGAAGGAGAGTAACGCTTGCCTAATGACTCGCCAACGATCGAGCGAAAGGGCCAGGGGTTTGACTCGCGAAAAGCAAAAATTTCTACTTTCGAAAGTTTACAAGAGGCTTACTTCTTTCATAGAAGGAAGCTCATGGAAAGATCGCTCGCGTCGAATCCTCGGTAAGCTGGAGTAGTCGTTGAACGAATACTGCGCGGAGGAGGAATTTGTGACAAAGAAACATACAAGAAACGAGAGCATTAGGAAACAGACTAATACCAAGGGAAGAACGAGACGTTATTACTCTTACCTTGTCCGCCAATTTGTCGGTTTCCAACCTGGCCAGTTGTTCGGCTCGCACCAGAAGCGACTCCGTTTGTAGTTCGAGGCCCATCTCTTCCGAGATCTCGTCCATTTGCATCGCTTTCCCGAGCCTCGCTAAAAACGTAAGAAACTGGAGAAGAAATTCGTTGGCCCGGCCCCGTACGAGTCGCGTTCGTTCAACGAATTACCGTTTCCTTCTCCCTAAGCAGAGACTCCTTCGACAACTCGCAACTGGTCAGCTCGGATTCCAGCTTGCGAACCTTGCTCTCCAGACTCGAACGTTCCTCCTCCATATTTCGCATCTTGGCTACGGTTGTGTCGATCAATTCGCTCTGCCGATTAGTCGACTCTGTCGCCGCGTTTACCTTTTCTCGAAGATTTTCAATGCTCTGACGGAAGAAGGATAAAACAGAACTTGAAACGTTCCGCCAAGCTGACGCTGATAGAAAAACATCCGAAAAGATAAACGAAATACTAGAGCTTGATCCTTGTTCTCGGCCAGAATTTCTCTGATGCGATCCTTGATGGAATTCTCGTGAGACTCGACGTATCTGTTCGATCCGCTGACGAGTATCGCTAAAGATTCCAACAGATGACGAAGTTCGTTTTGCACGCGGTGCGCCTTTTCTTCCCGATGCCTTAAATCCTCTACGAAAATAGAGAAGCAACTACGAAAATTCGAGCTACGGGCTCACAGATCGAACAAACGGTTCACCTCGTAACTGACAGATCAATGCTTCTTGATTCGATAAGTTTCCGGTCGCGTTGCTTATGCTCCTGTTCGCGTTCACCAGTTTGTCCCTTAGCTCGTTCAACTCCCTTTCAGCCACCCTGTACTGCATCTCAAGGCACTCCTTGTCCTGATAAATCGATTTAGTTACTCGCTGGAGAGTACCTCTCGCGAGATCTGTGACCTACCATAAGATAGAGAAAATAGGTATATACCTGTCTGAAACGGTCCAGATCAATCGCTTGCGAGGACGTTTGTCGTTGAAGCTGATCCTTCTCCGCGACCGCACGGTCCAAAGCATCCCGACAACTTCGGAGATCCATCTCGATCGTCGACAACTGCGTCTCGAGGTTGTTGCATTTCGCGCGAACACGATTCGTCTCTTGAACCAGCTCTTCCGTCTTCTGGATTACCATCTCCGGACTTGGATGAACGGTTTCGCGGTACTCAACGTTCAACGCGTGTGCCAGCTTTCGAGTGAATTCCTTTGACGAAGAAACATCGAAACGTTACGATTGAAACACCTACAGCAAAAGGGCTTAGGAAATCGAACCTGCAAGTTTGAACGAGCACGCTCTTTCGACTGTATCTCTTCGGACACTGTCTGCTCCAGCTGACATATCTTCTTGTCGCATTCTCGCACCTTTTCCTCGTGATACTTCAAGTCTCTCTGCAAACCCTGTATCGTGATCTCGTTTCTCCCTTGAGTCGCGTACAGAGTCCTCTCTCGTTCTTCCAGTTCCTTTAACGTGCGTTTTTAAAACGTATGCAACGCTTTGATAACTCGTATGATCTCAACGCATTCGCTAGTAGAATTCGCAGACGTATGTATGCCAATCTACCTTTTTAATAATTTAGAAACGCGTTACGCAAACAGACCAAATGTTTCACATACCTAATCTGCCAGAGCTTCAATTTTATTTCTACATCATCGTTTTACTGCATTGTGAAATTACTCACGATTAATTGTATTATCAGAGGGAAAAATCGACGAGTAGGAAATTGCGAATCGATACAGAAATTGCGTATTGGTAAACGATACGCGGAACGCGGAGAGGAATGTTTTCAGCGAACACGTTGGAAAGATAAAAATGATTGATTTGCAAAACGAACGAGAACGAAACGTAACCTGTATACGTTTCTTCAAACTGGAAACGATCGCAGTCTGCCTGGCCGCTTGCTCGCGAAGCTGATCGACCTCTACCTCCAATTCCACGATTCGTTGATCCCGACTTCGAATCAGGCTCTTCGTCTCTTGAAGCTGGATCACAGAGATGTTTCGATCAACGGAACGCTTCGTTCAATATTTCTTATTTCATTCGCTTATTTGCCTTTACTTGCAATTTACCTACCTCGGACACGAGACGGTCTCGCTTGTACTCGAGAGCCGCTAGCTCGCTCTTTAATGTGGTTGTTAAATCGTGATTCATGGCTTCCTCGTGATCGGTCTAAATCATCAGATTCAATGTTCAACCATCGTAATCTCCTTCTAAAACTTTTAATCTTAGATACGAATCAAACTACAGTAGGACATTAGTTATCGAAACATATTTCGGAACAAGACGGATCGGGTTATCGACAATCTTTAGATAACGTTTATTGATGTTCTTCAGTAATCGTATAAGTGATCGATTCTTAAACGATTATTAATTAATTTTCCCGATTATCCTATCAATACAGCCATTTTTATCGTCGTCCAAACGGATCACTTGAAATGAAATAATTTTCAAAAATACACTGCTCCTCGACTGCTCGCGAAGTTACACGACTCTAACTGAATGCTCGAAATGGATATCTCGTGTCTTCGATCGGTTGGTTTCGTCGGAATATTTTTAAACACGAAACTTACCGTTGGATTCGTGTGTACAATTGTTTCGCGTATTTATATCGGAAGATCGATGATACATTGTGACTCGTTACCTGCAATAACAGCTTCTTTATGCTTTTACAATACACAGATTCGCTTTACCTTAAAGAAAATAAGTCCTGTTAAGGTAACTCTCTGTTGCATGTAATAATAAATGATTTTAAGGACAATAGCAAAAGTAAGAAATTACTTAATGAAAGAAGCATAAACGTCATTTATGATTCGACCGGAGTTTATTTCAAGCGAAGCTACATGTATAAACGATTGCGAACTAGCTTCCGAAAGTATGCGAAAAATGCAAAAAACTCATTAACCAGATTCCAGGGTTCGGAAAAAGAGCTGGTGAAGCGTAGGTGGTGGAGGGTGGTACATCGATAGAGGTGTACAGAGACAGGTAGAATCGATTCCATGGAACGCTATGGCAACCGAAGCCTTGCATCGTGCGCCAGTCGATACGGTTTCAACAATTGCTCGAATACTTTAGGCACAAGCTGTATGTAACGTTATTTCAGTGCAAAGGGTTAAAATATAATAGAAAAGGAAGAGAATCCAGGTGCTAAGGAGGAGGATGGCAAAGCCAAGAAAGCAAGAAGCTCTATGCGCCTGACTGTTCCATAGATATACACAAAGAGTGAACTTTGCCAGTGCGCATACTCGTCTACAGAGAGCTTTGTAATTATTGCAAGTGTTTATTGTAGAGAATAAGCGGTGCGACCGGGTTTGTCGTGGTAAATGTGTAACCTGGAAAAAGGACCTTTCGAGGAGACGATATGCAGAGACTTTGGAAAATCTGTAGATCTTCTTCGTTAGTATCCTTTGGTTCTCGCGATTCCACGATCACCTTATCCCTCTCCCCATCCCTCTTCCGCTCCCAGTCTCTGTCTGTCTCTTCCTTCCTGGACATCTTGACTCGCACCCTCGAGTCCTTTCACCTCGATCAATCGACACCCATCGGATCAAGACGATTCGAAGGAAAGATTCGTCCTCTTTCTCGATATCTTTCGGCGACACTTTTCGGCCGACTGATATGCTTCTTTCAGGTGCAAGCTTGAAAGCGGTAAAGCGTTTCCAACGAGAAGGAAGCGTCGACGCACAGCGAGCGAGCAACCATCGACTTACCAATCCCCTCGGCTACCTCGAGATAATCGAAATTCATCGATCCCTAGAGACCACTTTTCGCTCTTCTTTTTAGTTTCCTGGGAGGAAATATCGATAACCACGTATTTCTCGAATAATTAAATGAACTTTTTCTCCTGCAACATTTTTCTTTTAGTTTATGGAAAAGTTTATAGAAAATTCGTGTAGAAACTCTTCTGAAGAAAACCATGCGTCATCCATAGTTTGATAAATAATTATTATTTGTACTAAAAGTTATTTTCGCAAATGAAAACACGAAGTCTCAATTGTACAACTTTTTCGCGATGGTACTGATTTAAGCTAGTGTATATTGATACTAAAAGCCATATACCAGTCGAAACGCATTCTTTTATTACTAAAACAATAACATTTTGTGATTCACAAACATCGCTTCGCTTTTATAGCTAATAAATTTATATGACGCTCATAAAAATGATAGTATTCGTTAAACGCGATTATTTTAATGTTTGTCTTGGAATATAAATCGCGCTAAAACGTTCAAATTTCATAAGAGTACAGAGAAAAAAAGAAAACATGAAAGTTTCGAGAAGCCTGACAAGTGCAGCAATTGCTCTGATAAGCATGTTCACTTATTTAGCAGTAGCCATGGCTGCTCCAAATCCAGTAATTTAATTTTATATTCAGTTCGATCTTATTCAACCACTCCAAAATTCGCTTCATAATTTTAATAAGATTACTTAACTTTTTTTCAGGATCCTGCACTAAATCCGAAAGTTATAGCATCTTTGGTCGGCAAATAAATGAGGAAAGGACATCGTGGAAATGTTTTGCAGGTTCATTTATACATAAAAGTATAAAACTTCCTTATATATAATTTGAAAATATTAAATTTTCCTTAGAGAATCTTGTTGAAAATTATGTACGAATTGTATTTCAAGTGTTTCCAATAATTAAAAGAGTATTAGCATGAAATTTCTATTTATTTTTTCCTACATACAATAGGTACAGCTTTTGATTCTTAAGTTTTTTAACAGTATAAATGTTGGTCTGCAATTAAATTCATATTTTTTATTCGAATCGCAGACACAGAAATACTATAGCCATCTATTATCGGAATAGAAAAGTAAATTTTAGTGTTAGTCGGTATCTAGTGAGTTGTGTTACCATGTTACAGTAAAAAATTTCTAATTGGCACCATTGCTCAATTCCCTTTATTTAGGGACATAAAGCATTTCCCCTACGTATATAAATAAAACAGCTGTTAGCTTCAAAATGGCGGTGGTACGAAATTAGTGCCGGGTGTCGAATATAATATAAACTTTTCTTTCTTAGACACTTGTCTAACATGTTATTTCCACTTTCTCATTTGAGTCGTAAGAACTTTGACACGTTATTTAAAACCTTTTCAAGTCACCATGTAAATATTCCATCGTCTTTCCACTTTGCTCGATACTTTATAACCTATCCTAACCTTATACAAATTTAAATTTAGGTAAAAACGCTGGTTAGAACGGCTAAAACGAAAAGAAAGACAGTCGAAGATAAACCGGAAGAAGGCAAGAAAAAAGGAATACCGATAATAACGTGCAAAAGACCAAACTTCAATTTCTACAAAGGCGATAAATATAACAAATGGAAACCAGTATTAGCCAGCGAGTCATGGAACCACAAAGGCTCCAGAGGCGATTATTTTTTCATACATCCTTATGACATTGTATGTTATAGTTATAATCTATACTTTCTGTTTTATTTCTTGTACAATCAATATAAACATAATTTGTTTTTTAGAATAACGACAATGAAACGGACGAGGAAACTAACGTTAAACAATTTGAAGATTTTAATTTAGATCTTTCTTTATGTAAACATATAAAAACTTTAAATATAGAAAAACCTTTAGAGATTCAAAGTTTAGCGATACCACCAATTCTTCATGGTCATAATACGCTAATAGCGGCAGAAACGGGATGCGGTAAAACGCTAGCTTATGTTTTACCGTTAATAACGCAAGTTTTGAGATGGAAAGAAATGGGGCAAAGGGATGTCAATTGTCCATTGGGTTTAATCGTAACACCTTCCAGAGAATTAGCAGTACAAATTGGGGTTTGTAATCACAGCTTAATTTTGAACATTTGTTCTGATACTAGCAATATATTAACAAAACAGGTATTATTTCGTAGCTCGAGTTAATCAAGATCTCTAAATGTCTTGGTGTTAATACAAAAATCATAACTGGTGGAAGAACTAAAAAAATGATGATGGATCCTCCTGTTGGAGATGTGGACATTCTTGTCTGTAGTTTTGGTGTTATTAGTAAATTAACTACTGTTAGAATTTACAATCTCAAGTTCGTAAAATTTGTCGTGTTAGATGAAGCTGATGCTCTACTCCATGTAACATTTGAAGATAAACTAAAAGTTTTCTTAAGCAGAATAACGGTAAAAAAATAGGCGTTTAATTCCTTACATATCTATCAATAAATATATTAATGCTTGCTCTAATCCATGCAGATTGGTTACCGTCAAGAAGAATCCGAAGATAGATTACCGAATAGCGCTCAACTTATTTTAGCCTCTGCGACAATTCCCAGGCGATTGGAAAATGTCTTGGGCCATATCGTGAATGTAAGTAACTTTATTCAAATTAATTTTGCAATGCACTGTTAACGTATTAATGTATTTACATATTTAGATGAAATTTGTTTACAGCTGAAATCTTTACAACACGTAACAACAAAAAATCTGCATAAAATATTGGTCACACAAAAATTTATGAGATTAGGTTCAAGTCAAAAGCCAATGGAACTTTTAAAATATATAAAACCTAAAGTATCGAATAAACAACCCGTAATTATATTTAGCAATCAGACCGGTACATCCTATTGGCTTCATATATTTTTGCGCGAGTGTGGTATAGAGGCTACAAATTTAAGCGGTGATATGCCATTATACGTACGACAAGGAAAATATGGGGAATTTTTAAATGGCAAAACAAGGGTATTAACAACGACGAACGCCGGATCCAGAGGTTTAGACACAATAATGGTTAATCATATTTTAAATTACGATTTCCCACTCGATACATCTGTTTATGTTCATAGGTATGCAATTTAAATAATCAATAATAGAAAAGTTGTGCTTAAAATCCAGACGATAATCTTATTGTATCTAATTTATTTAGATGCGGCAGAACCGGTAGAGTAGGTACAAGAGGCGAATGTAGAGTGACGAATTTCATTAGTAAACCGGGAGAAATTGCCGTGGTTCAAAAAATTGAAAGGGCTGTAAGAAAAATGAAAGCAATTCCTATCTTTAATCTGGTCGAAACGGATGAAAAAGATGAACAAGTGGTAGAAGACCAATACATTGGGGAAAATATCGAAAACTTGGACGACGTTGAAAATGTTCCATATTAAACTGTAAATATTTACTACATTGTATATAAATAAAAATAATTGACGTTTCATACAAATGTACCATCTTTTTAGACGCTACTGTTGCTTGCTTTTCTTGTAACTGTGTAACGCCAACAAATTTACCGATACGAGAAAGTCTTCGAAGAAGCCCTTGCAACGACTCTCGATAGGATCAAAGAATCGACTGAACGTCGTTGCCCTTAAATCTGTTTAATTTCCTTCAACTTCGTTAAACGACTGATCGCGTGAGCTTTGAATTCATGTTCCATAAATTAAAACTCGGGTTTTCTACTTTTAATTGCTATATTGTGTCCCAATTCTGTTAAAGTTACTTTTACTGCAAATCAATCGCTTCGCACCAGTATGTGAGCCACGAAGCGGATGGCGGTCTAGTATTCGATCATCGCCGGAATCAAATAGTGTTTTTACAACAATGTTCGTAAAAAGAATTTTTTACCCTTACGATTAGAGACGTAACGAGTTTTTTTTTATCGTTTAAGAATTCGAATTGGAAACTTTCAGTTCGAGGAAGGAAGCCCACGACCCACACGTACGTTTCCATCCATCCGTCGACTCGATGTTCCGTCATGTCCGGCGACACTCCCACGCTAAACGCCTACGTACGACAAACAGGACTACTGTAACGCAGACCGTACGTCTAGACCAGTTTATTACTCGCACTGTGTTTTAGTGAAATTACGAATCTCCTCGCATGCCGCTATTCGTGTTTCCGCAAAAGGGTGTGCCACACGATCGCGTTGATAACGCTGTGCGTGCACGATTCAGATGGAAGACTCTTTCTTTCACGCCTAACGCTGAAACGAACTTTCCTTCGATACGATGTCATCGAGATTTCAGAATATTTAACCCTTTCGCTGCCACGGTGGTCCCATGGGACCGGCGCTTGTCTTTTCATTTGGGCCATGGTGGTCATCGGTGACTATTGGCAAGATTGTACCGTTGCCATCACAAAATTTTTAATATGAAATTTCTGGCCCACTGGTGCAAGTTGAAAAATTCGCGTGGCAACGAAAGGGTTAAATAACAACGTATTCGATAAAAAATTGGAACATTAATCCTGAACTTGTCGTTCGTGGAACAGTGCAAAAACTACACCACCGTCAAAAGGAAAGCGGAAACGGAAATACGATGAATAGTCAGAGTCAAAGACAATGAAAATAGACTAATTAACGTGGGTAGTTGCGTGTCATGTAGGACAAGGAAATTTCAGCGATGAATACACAAACCATATAGGAATCCTTGTCAAAGGACGATCAGCGTACCTTTCGAGGATTAGTTCCGTTACTTCAAACGAAAGGTACGTATAATTATTCGTACGACTAACAGGAAAAATATAAATCGGCTTTACTTTCCGTCCGCTTTCTTACTTTCATTTCTTTCTCTTAGAAACAGAGAAGACAACGAACGTGGTGGTCTAATTCAATCTGAATTCTTAGCGAAAAATCGGTCACGTTTGACCTCTATGCCGAACAGTTAATTCGTCGAATTACGGTCAGAGGGAATCAGATCAGAACGCGCATTGTAAGGATTTAAATCGCGTCAAGTTTAAAACGCTACGAATAGGTCTTCGAATCGGCATTCGACTTGTTTTTCAAATCGTTCCCTCGAAAAAGAATTTTTCTTTACGATTTTCATTCATCTTTGAATTCCAATGAATTATTTATGACAATCGAACGTAACGTAAACAACGATACAAAAGATAAAGAAAATAAATACAGGTAATTTAACATAATGTTCTGAAGCGTCGGTAATGCAACCTCGTGACGAACGCTATAGGATCGTAGAGCGAATGGCGAGGAAGTAAATACGGGAGGTGGGGGGAATCGGTGAGGGTTCTAATAGAAACGGAGTCAGTCTTTCTGCGACGCGCAACCTGTTAGCGTCGTGGTATCGCGTCTCCTCTCGTTTCGCGGTTCTTTCAATCATTCGCACGATTTCTCCGTCTAATTACTTCACGATTATACCCAGCCGAGTTCTCATTGCCGCGAGTAATACAGTTAAGTACGGGAACAGTTTGAAAATCGTGTCTCGATATCACCGCGAGAAAGGTTACCGATCGACACGCCAGGTCCGGGTTGACGAACCCTCTCAAAGAGGCGGACACGTCGGTCCCGTAAAAATGCAGCTCGTCGTCCGAGCGATCGTTTAACACGCAATATACCTTTGAATCACGCGGACGATACTCGCGAAGGAAAAGCATGATAATTCATTGGAAGCAAGTATATAACTAAGCCTCGCGACACCGTTGTCCTTCCGTTGTAGTTGGAGCGACTAGGTAAAAAGGTAGCGATGTAATCGAAACGACGCTACGCACTCTGTTTGATCAACATCGAGAGATCAAGTGTCACTATCGGAGTCAGAAGAATTTCAAAGTTCGATAAATTCTGTCAAAAGTGATTGTGTCGAACGAATGAACGACGGAACACACATGTTTGGACCGTTTACTACGGTGAATCGCATGAGTCAGGACAAAGCGTTTAACGACATCGTAACGGATCGATGGTTGATCGTTGTGTGAGAATTCAGTGGTATCGCGACAAGGGAATCGTAGCTACAGGAAAATCCGTAGATCGGGATCAAACGTGCGCGGTGATTGAGTGGTGCCGTTGGCCGATTTAATTTATCTTGTGTTGGCAAAAGGACCCGGAAGCCGCTATATTGGAGAGGAAGCGAGAAAGCGGCGTGCCGCTCTTCTGTGTACCGCGGCAGAGGCGATCGTCGCAACTTGAAAATGTAAGTTTTCCTTATAACAACATATTGCTATTTAATCATAGTTTCCATTTGTATGTTTCGGTGAATGAAATTACTCGTTCTTTCGTTAGCGCTGGTAAGTACGGTAGAACTTACCTATTGTGTATTCCCCAGATATTTATCGTTTATCGGTAAGAATAGAAAGATTAGAAAAATACATCGAGTGCGATAATCGCAACGCGATTCGTAGAATTATTACTCAGAAAAGGAAAGAAAGTACGATTCACTTGCGATAAGCGAAATGTAAGGGTAGATATTTGTCGCATGCGAGTCGAAAGAAACAGTTTTATCCTGCTCCGAAAGTCGATTCATATTCTGTAAGAAAGTTAGGTTAATGTCGACGAATACCGGTAGGTGAAGGTCACCGGTGTCCATTGGACGACGACGCGTAGTACGAGCGAATTCATGCCGCTGCATGCAGCATTCTTTTCCTCGACTTCCTGTAAATCAACTCTCGATCGTCCGCAAATTCTTCGCTATGCTACATCCTTTGTTTGTTCGATGATCGATGTTCAAACGATACAATCGATAAATTAAACCAGAATGAAGTTTGATCGTTTTCAACTTTAACTTCAAGTTCAATCGAAATTTAAATTGCAAATTGGAACCGTCGACAGTGACCATCAACGTTTTGTTGACGATCCACGCGCCATATTTTAGTACTTTTCACCCTCACAAGCATCTTTTTATTTATTTCCAGTTTCAGCTGATGAATTTTGTCATTTGAAATTATCGCATGGATCGCGTGCATCGCACACGTTTACCGTTCCCACCGCTCACGCGCCTCTTCGTTAACGAACCGTCCATAAGTACGCGTCTTCCTCTTCCGTTCACTTTTCAAAATCGCCAACAAATAACTAGGCTTTCTCGCGTTTATCGCTCTACCAGTTACTCCAATCAAAATCAGCGCTTTTGTCATAAGACGAGCTCTATAGATCAAATTTTTTCCTAATTACGTATTATTATATTATCGTATATATCAGATATTGTCTTGGGTACTGTTTATTTTTCTGTCTGGCAAGCTTCTGAAGAAAATGAAAAACTATTCGACAAAGGCGTCGCGTGGAATTCTTGGGTCCCGATGCAGCCAGTTGTAAGGGAGAGAGAAACGTTTGCGTGTAGCGGGTAATGTTATTGTATTCTCAGCACGTATAGGCAATAGGAGTTGGTTATTACGCCTACTTCCGGTGGTTGGGTCGCGGTGGCGCGGACTCGCTCGAGCTTTAACGCGTTGCACGAATATTCCACCTTATTTTTCTCGCTTTTCTGTTCGTTCACGTACGTTGTACGTCGTACAGTTTGTTTATTAGCATGAGTTTCAAGGAAAATATCCATCTGTAAACCGTGTCGTGTATTCGATAACTCGTCAAAGAATAGGGGAAAAATCGAAGTCGATCTCGTGTGAAAGGCACGAGGCTGGTATTCGAAAATACGAAAGAAGAATGCACGCCAGTCCCGGGGCTGGAATTTTAGAACAGCTGCAGGCGCATACCTAAGCGATATACCGGCCGACCCAGCGAGCAGCCTCGGCTCTACAGAAACGCTCGTAAACTCGACCAACTTTGTCCGTCTCGCCTGGACTCGGCTCGATTCGCTCGACAAACGGCCGAATACGCTTCGGAAATAAAGTCTGCTGCTCGATCGTCGTCTACCTTGCTCCAATTTATGCCCGCATCATAGACTACTACCTATCTCTCGTTGTCGCAAACGCGAACGATACGATTTTGCTTAGCAACGCGTGCAATTTCGACAGCTTGCGCGGTGTTTGTTCGAACGGATCAGCAGGATGAAAAGGATTGACCATATGGTTAGACGGAACCTTTGCGAGCGCAGTTGCTTCGACAACTGCTCCAACCGAGAATTCTCCGTTCCGATCGACTAGAATGAAAAACAGTTTCCTGCGACGATAACCTTCCCCTCTGGAATCGAATTATCGTTGGTAATGGTGTAGCATCGGCTTGGCAGGATACAGGTTCTTTAAAAGCAACCAAAGGCAATTAATTAGAGCCGGATGCGTTGATTGACCTCTGAATAAAGTTCGTCAGGGTCCAAGCGTCGCGTCGCGTCAGGGGCTCGGCCCTTTCGTTTCAGCTTTCAAGTTTATCCCGTTTGTCGTTCTCGACGAAAGGATAATAAACGGACGTGGCTAATTATTCTCTTTTCACCTGAATATACCTATATCGACGCGATAGAAAGATAATGTTTGCCCGACGAAAGTGAAACTAGAAAGCGACAACGATCGATCAGCGATAGAATTTGTATAATTTTCAAATAAATGAAATCTCGGTCGGCGAGATCGCGAGAGGCTAACGAACATAAATGGTTTTCGCGAAGAATAATCGGCGAATATACTGTTATATAGCACAGCGTGTGGCTAACTGTAAAAACATCCACCTCGGTACTCGTCGCTTAACCGCCTACCGGGTGAACTTGTCACAGGTAAGTGGCGTCATGAAAACACCGTCACCTGGCACGCGAGACTCGTTGCCGGTAAGTTTGCTTCGATTTCGCGCCTCCTTACGCGACCATGAGCGTACGGCTAATTCCGAAACCTACCGTGAAATCCGATTGACCGGCTTCGAGAAGCACGAGTAACGTCTTCTATAAATACTTTAGATCGTTGTACTCGAAACGCTAGATCGGGGACAAGAGCGCGATACAGGATTATTTATAAATCGCCGTTCTCCCGTTTAATTAAAAGTGTAAAGAGATGGAAAGGAATAGAAAAGAACTGGTCGAACTCGTCCGTTGATTATTTGCCTTTCGTCGAATCGGTTGCTTCGCGTTTCGTAAGTTTCCAGGGATACGTCGGTTCCAGTCGCATTTCTTGCATGCTAACTCGTTACGAAAGTAACAGTGGAAATGGAGTTCGACTCGCGTTTTACGGAGATCGGAAGACGATCGCGTTCCTATCGGCACGAGTACGATTCTCGGTTCCACGGGCACGTGAGTGACCTGGTGTCTCGATTCGTCGAGGGATTCGACCGGTGAAGAAAAGGAGCCGTATTAGGTCAGTAGCGTTCGGGTGTTCGCCCTCGGTGGAAAGAAGAATAATAATAAGAAGAATCCAGCCCTCTCGGTCCTGCTCGTTCTCATTTTTCTCGTTTCTCTCGCTTCTCTCTCGGTTGGGTTAGGCTTGCCCCGAGTGACTCTGCGGGCTAACGGCATCTCGGGACCTCCTCTCTTCCTCCTCGCAGCATCGAACTCCTTTCCCCGTTCTTCGCTGTCGACTTGGTCCGCGACTTTGCCTCCGAATACTCTTAGCATTCACCGACAACTCACGCTCCTCCTCCTACTACATATACATACGAGTTCCTCTTCTCCTTTTCTGTTCGCATACAACCGCGTTCGTACTACTTGTACTACAAACCCGCGGATGCACTCGAGAATCCTAGCCGTAAAATACGCCGTTCGTCAGGGTATAAAGATTCTCTAAGCGACCTCCGATCGAATTAGGACTGATCGTGAGAATGTTGTTACATTAAAGCAAAGCGTACTCCCGAGCTTTCACCGAGAGGCGACTCGAGTGTAATACTGGATGCCGCAATAACGTTATCTGTGCCAAAGCGTACCAGCTCCGAGGAGGAAAACGCAACAGGTGCGAATATTCGCGACTCTATTTTACCGATTTCGTGGAAGTCATGTATCCTCCGATCGTTCGTTTCCGTTCGAGATAGAAAGCGTACAATAAGAGGAAGTCGGGACGAGAGTAGATTCCGAAACGGCACGAAACGGCGATTTACGCGAAACGAGCAGCGTTATGCGTTCCCTGTTGCATCGAGTACCGGACACGAATCGTTACGTCGAACGTTTCGTCGTTCCAGCGATGCTCAGGAAGATCGCTGTAAGCCGATAGGGAAGCGAAGCGGTTGCCCTGCAAGCGGAACGCCTATGAATAAGTCGTTTTCCTTGCGTAACGCATCCTCGGACACACCGCGCCATCCTTTTCCTTCGTTTTTCCGCGATACCACTTTTCTACACTCTTGCTGGATCCACGAGGAAACCGTATCGAACGGTCGACGCCGTTGTCCGTGATCCTTGGCCCGTTCTTCCTGTCTCTCGCGTTTTTACTCCTCTTCCCTGTTTCTTTTTTCTCTCTTTATTGTAACGAAAGAGGAAAGCCCGAAACGGCACGGGACGAAGCCTCGGGGTTTAACACGCTAGAACGATTACGCGGCCGCCGTTACACCCGTGGGAAGATGAACGATTTCGATCGAGTTCTCAACCATTCGACTCCGTTTCTTGAATTTTTCGAAAGAAACATCGCGTGGACGTGGAACGCACACGGCCAGGATCGAACGAGGGTTAGGTATGTTAGGCAAGCACGAAAGCAAGCATAGGAGGAGAAGGAGGAGGGACGGTACAGGCCGGGAAGATGGTGGGAGGAGGACTTCCGGTGCTCAGGGCCGTAGCTCGCCCTCAGCGTTTATTCCCCTGTCCCTTTCTCCGTGGCCGAGCCAGCACAAAGGACCGTGGCTGCGATCCTCTCGAGAAGCAACGAGGGCACGACCTTCTTCACCGCTGAGAGAGACTGTCGCTAAACGGACGGCTCGTAAAGAATCCTTACCAGATGACGCTCACTCTCCTCGCTTCATGCTTCGTGCTTCGACAAAACAACCAGCGAATCTTATCCTCGGCCAAAATTTCATCATCTCGATGGGAAAGGAAAGCTAAACTAGCTTCTTCTTTTCCTTTCGAGCGTGAACAATTGTCGCGTATTTTAGAAAATTTGGAAAATTCATCATTCGCTTTTGCTCGACGAAGCAACAAGTTTCCCGTCCCATGAAAGTTTTCAACTCGGTTAACTTCTGTCTCACGCGTTTACTTACCATTGATACGAGAGATAGAGAAAAAGCGAGAGGGTGTTGCGTAGCCGAGAGATATGAAACGGCATGCTCGTAAATTATAGTCGATGAGAAACGCGTCTGTTAGCTTTAAAACGACTCGGCGCGACGCGACTGTCGGGGTAGCATTGCTCGTAATTAGAGGACGAGAAGCAATTAAGTAGAAGAGTGGTCGATGTGTCGCAACGCGCGATTCGGTTTAGGCCAAAACTTTGAAACTTTCACCAAAATAGGAGGATAGTTTCCTACATTCCCCGAGCCCTAATCTTGCTCTCCCTTGTTCAGATCATGCTGGCATTGTATCGAAACACAATCGTCTTTTCGTAAACGCAGGTCGAAGAAGCGTCGTTTAACTGGGATGCTTTTCTTGAACGATCGTTACAATAGAACGCTTTCTGCTGGAAAATTATCCCAATCTCCCTCGTTTAAACCGAAACACGAATAGCTGTGTTTGCGACGCAGCCCGAGTCGCTTCGATTCTCAGCGGGAGTCCGTAAAAAGGAAAGGAGAAAATAGATGGTCGCATCGCGACAAGTTGGTGCGAATTCGTTACTTCTTATTGGTTTTGGGAAGTAGTTTAATGACCAAAATTCCTCGTGCCAGGCATAACCCTTATCTATGTTTCAACACTTTACGTTCACGTATCGAGTTACGAATGCCTTTTGGTCCAGGAAGTACGAAGAATAAACTATTTGACCCTCGTCGTGTTGTTGAAATAAGATCATATTCATTTTTGCCCGTATATCGATACCTCTGCTGTAGCAGAATTGTAATTCGATTCGCATTTATCGTTCGTTAGCAGTTGAATTAGTTCCTTCCGAATTGTTTCACGAGTTGTCGCGAGTTCGGTGGGACGTTTCTCCATAAAAAATAATGGTACCGGCGAAACGAGGGTAACGACCGAAAGGCTGGAGTCTCGGACAAGTTACGCTCACCGTGTGTCGGACTCGTTGCGTGGACGGCTGCCAACTTCTCCTCACGATTCTCGATTCCATCAACAAGGGTCAACGATCGAAAGCATCGCGTTTCGTATCGGAAATCCTTTGAAATCGATCCATCGGAAGCAGAGCGAGCCTTCTTCCTCTCGAATCGTCCGAGTCGCCGAAATTCGACGACGCCCTGATCTTTATCTTCTAAACATCCGCTACTCGTATCTTCGCGAATATCAAATCAGCGTGTAGAGAAAGAGGAAAGAGACATAATTCGAGCCGGAAGAGAAAATGAAATCCGTAATGGAGGAATGTCGGTAACGGTGGCCGGTGGGTAGCGCGTGGGATAACCGATTGCCGCCAGTCACGAATCACTCGAAACGAGATAACATCGAGACTAAACGAGAGATGCTTCGCAGAAGTACGAGGATGATAAGTAAAGACAGGTTTCGGTTTGTTGTACCTACCGAAATCGTAGGCTTCGGTGCTCGCATACGTATTTATAGTTTTGGACCGTTAAAAAGTACGTATCCGAGTGAGCACCGCGGTGGTCGATGAGCAGCAGGATCGTACTACGGGACCGGTCTCTTAATCTTCTCTCGAAATAAACACCCTCCACGTTCCTGGCCATACTTGCGTTCCCGCTGCTGGTGCCCGTATTCCTACGCTTCTACCATGCCGTGTTCACTCGAGTTTTACCTATCTCGAATATCCGCTTCCGTCGCGTCGCCAGGTCATGCGTATAACCTGAATCCTCCTCGTCTCGTATATTATGCTCGAGAAAGGAATTTTGAATAAAAGTTGCACAGCTCGAGAGGTGCGGTAGCTTAAGTCTAACCGGATGAAACATTGCGTTATTATAATATTTGCATTGTTAATGGAGCACAAACGGTCGCGTCGACAGGGTACAGGCGAGGGGTTTCGTTACCCTCTGAATAGAAACAATCAGAACAAAATTGTCGAGTAGACCGAATGAAACAAAAGGAAAATTGAAATTGAAAAGTGGTAGCGAGGCAAAAAGTAATTTATCATTTCTTTCTGAGAACGTCTCGATCGACACCCCTCGAATATTCTTCTATATACAAGTTCTCAGTTTCTAAACTGTTTATGGGAACAGATAAGGGGGTTTTTTCTTCTCTTGCAGTTAGTTCTGTTGCATCTTTCGAATTTAGTAATCACTATATCCTAATGCCGTCGCGGTGGTCGTCGCAGTCGCGGGACCTCCTGCAGAGAGAACGAGAGAGAGAAAAACCGCGTCAAGGATCGGTTTCGATCCACGCGTCTGCTCCTACGCTTGGTCGCCTGTGTCGATTAATAAATATGCTAATGCACCGAGACGAGAGTGTCTCGTTCGATTTAATTGAAACCGTTTCCCGTTAAAACTTGTCCCTCTAAGAGAGGCGAATGGACGCGAAGCTTCTCGCGCTTGCATCGTTTTATAGGTACGATTTGTAGGTGAAAGTCGAAGCGAGCAGGAGATTTTGTAACGTTGATCTAGCTCTCGAAATCGTATCAGTCGAGCACGAAGCTGTATGTACAGTTAAAACCTGCGGCTAAGTTGGAAAGTATTACGGAGCAGCGCGATGCGTCAACGAAAAGATAAGCGCGATCCAAATAAAAGATACCGCCGGCCTTTCCTAGTACCCCCTTTAAAACTTCTTGCTGCTTCGATAACAAGCCTTTGAGTCGCATCGTAACCGAACTCCTCTCTTTCGTTTCTTTCTCGTCTCTCCGCGTCTGTTCAGTCTGATTTTCGTCCTGTTACCATTCGAGGATCCTTCAGATTTGCCCATGGTTCTCGCGAAAATTTCGTAGTTTCGCGATCTCCGGTAACAAGGCAAAGGAGAGGTATTTACGCTTCCTTGATACCTGTCGATATTTTGACTTTTGAACGGCCAACGTGTACTTACACCGTCACGAAGGAAGGAGCGAAGAGGCGATAGCGAGGAAGGTATAACGAGCTCTTTGTGCGTTATCTTTCGCCAGTTTGTTTCTTCTCGCTTCGGTACCGACGAACGCGTTACAATCCCACGCATAAATGTCACCGACAAAGCTTATCCCGTTTTTGATCGCTCCGAAAGAGACTGGGTCGCTGGCCTACGCGACCCTGAACGCTCTTTTCTCTACGGAGAATCACGTGGAAACTTGAATTTTCTTGAATCAACCCGATCCCCACTGAATTTATTCAGAGCGAAGCGTAATCGCGCAAAATCTCGAACGATGCTTAACATTGGTTAGCTAATTATCCTCGCCCAATTAATTACTCCAGCCCCGTTTCAATATACCAGCCTCTCGGTCGCTGGTGTACGAGGAAAAAGAAAGTCGTTGACCCGATACGTCAGCCTTGCGTAACAACCGCTTTACACACGTGACCCGTAAACTAATCGTACAGTGAAACGAAAAGAAAGATAGAAAAAATACGCGTTTGAACGCATCTAAATGCAAACAAACGCGACACCTTTACGTTCGTCGCGATCGTTGAATCTATTATAAGCAAGTCTCGCAATTTACCTGGCCTTCGATCGCCGCAACGCACCGTGCCACGTCGCGTACGCATCGTTCGCTTACTTCGTCACTTTGAAAGAAACAGCAAAATCGTCGCTCCTTTACCGTTTTATCTTTAGTCATCAATGGCATCGTTGTACGACGAGAAAATCGATCGATTTTATCGAAACCGTCTGTCGATTCAGTGGCAATCTGGAACAAAGTTGGAAGCTCTCCATCCATTGGCAAATATGGATTTCAAACCTCGTCCCGATAAGCCACGATTAACATCGAAATCAAAACGTTCGAGTTTCTTCTTTTTGTTGCTATTTCTCGTGATCGATAAAGGGTGTAAGAATAGAAAAGAGCGGGGAAGGGGCTCGGCTGCATCCCTTGGTCGAAACACGTCCGTACACGTTCATTCATGGTATAAATTCGCTCGCGACTCTCTGCTTATTGTTAACCATAGACATTCTGTTGTTTGGCACATCGGCGCCGGTCAGTTTAGCGACGGACACCGCGACGAAAGGTCTGAACGTCGATGTCGATTAAAATTGTGAACGATTTTGTGGAGTTCTTCAAACGTCTCGCGCCGCGTTGTCTTCGCGAAAGAGAAAATGAAGCAACCGCTCGTTGCGAAGATGTGGAAGGGAACAGGCTCGTGATCAAACAGGTATTTCTTTGAAAATAAAAGGTATTTTGAAAATCTAAGTGTAGACAGTCAGGTGTTTAAAGGCGCGTGGGAGGGAGGGAGGCGAAGAGCGCGAAGCACGGCGTGGCAGGCGTGTTACGTAAGGAAAGAAGCGGGGTTGCGAGGTCGAAGCACGGTTGGAATGACAGGAGGGTCGCTTTGACCGAACGCATCGTCGCGTCCCGTCGTGGCATCGTGGTACCCCGATGACTCACGAACAAAAGGAACGAAACGACGTTTCTTGGTGCCGGATCGCTGGATCGTTGGATCCTCGGATCCCATCTCAGACCACACCACGCAAAGCCAATCTCTCTCTCTCTCTCTTCCTCTCTCTGGATAGTCCCCGACCAAACCGACAACCGGCTCCCGCATTCCTCCTCAATTGTCCCAATTTCGGAGTGTACATTCCTGAAAGCTTAGTGGGATGCATCGCCGAACGAGGCGAAACGAATTCCAACCGTTCTTTCCTTTTAACTTGGGCCTTTAGTTAGATTCCTATGCGCGACTTTTGGTCCTCGGTTTCTCATACTTGGCGCTTCAGACCAAAAATCGTATCCAAATGTTTCGCTAATATTGTCCAAACGATAACGGAATAATTTAAGATACCAATCTTCGCAGCCGAAAGCCTCTACGATATCATTGATGCTGTTTCCGTCTGAATCGACGAGTTACAGCCCCGCTCCCTGACTGAATCTCAATTAACGCAACTAGCGAGCTTCTACAGAGACCGACAAAAAGTCGAACACTTCTGTATTTTTTAACAGAACGTGTTAAATATCGGAGAAAAGCGTGTTCTACAAACCGTGCTCGTCCTTATTAAAGCGTTAAACTTGTCCATCACCATTACCGTAGGAAAACGACAAAGTCGCGTGGAAACCGGTCGCGAGTTCATTGTCCCGGGTCGCTTTTTCTTTTTCCATTTTCTTCTCCTTTGCTTTTCCAGCTCGCGAGATCGCGTTTGACGCGGCATCGAGTCATTTTCGTCGGTTCCCTGTCGCGGATTGATCGTTTAGTTCGTAGGTTCCAGCACGTTCACGACTTATCAACGCGACACCGCTACTTCGAAATGCACTTTGCCGATAAAGAAACACTCGCTTGTTATGCGTTCGTCATTAAGATTCTCGTTGTTCGTTCTCCAAGGTTCAAATTCTTTTTCTTCGCTTTTAGCTTGTACGATACGGGAGTTAGATATTTTTTAATCTGGACTGATAAGGAAATAGGTATCGTTATTACCTTCAAAGTGGTCTTATTTTATACCTGAAATTGGTGTAAGTTGGGTAAAATAATCGTCGAGTTATTTTTAAAAATATCGAGGGACAACCTTTTCCTATCTAATAAGAACCGCGACGGTGGATTTAATTGATAACGCGTGTCGCATGGTAACGAATTTTCAACGATAAGCAACTCTTTCGTTATCAGTTATCAGCATTGGCAGAATGGTGAGTTGAATCTACGAACGAATGGCTGTTATATTAGTCGAGGAGAGGAAAGCCAACGTAACTTTCTTTCAGTCAATGAATTCGCACAATTAGAAAAAATAATTGCTCGCTCATTGCATAGAAGGCGGCTGGCGGTTGCATCGTGGCTGCAATCAACGGGCGGAAACGGGTAGAAAAACTAGTATTTTACAGGACGAGGCGGTAGTGCTCGATGTTATTACGATCTCTCGCTGCAACGGCAACCGGGAACCTCGTTTACACTGCCAGAAAGGGGCAAAATAATATTCTATCTGACCTGCTATGCTTTATACGGCAACGCGCGTTCACGCTCGAGGGATCGGCGAAAAATGCGCGCGATTCCCTTCTCGCATCGCGTCGTGTCGGAAAATTCGCTTAATGGCGTAAGAAAAAAGAAAAGGAACAATTGTCGATCGTTCCCATAGCAGAAGAAACTCTTTGTTTGTTGCGTTATCGTAAAACGCGGTTAAATATTACCAACAGTTTGCTCGACGTTCGCATCGCACGCGAATAAACATTAACGCGTACGGGCTGACAAAGAGGTCGGAGAAATCCTGAGCGTGTGCGTATGTGTAGCCTCGTTGAAAAGAAACGCAAGTTCAACAGAGAACATGCTGTAACGCGTTCTTGCTCGTCGTGTTTAAAGGCAGTCACAGCGACGGAAAACTCGACAGAAACTTACTAACGCGTTTCTCGAAGCAGGGCCGGTCCTGAGATTTCGGGGGTCCGAGGCGAGCTCCGAAAAAAAGGAAAAGTAGCTGAAATAAAATTTATAAAATTAACATTAAAGCTTGTATAACTAATTTAGATTTGCATTTACATCGATTAATATTCAAGTAAACATTACTCTTCTCGAAGAAAACTTCTTGAGAAGAGGAAAAATCGAGGAAAGAATCGAGAGGCGCACAATGTGCACGCATTCTTTGCTGCACACGCAACGACATGCGACACCGCGATACGCTCGTAGATCGTTTCAAGAATGCAAAGCCATTTACATAACTAGTTCGGATGATCGACGCCTCGTTTCGCAAACGGATGTCATCTTGATCGTCAGATTATTCGTGAGTTGTAGAAAATCTTCATCGATCTATATCTACATATCATATCGTAGCAATCGATCGTTTCCGTTTGTAACGATCTCTCGTCACCCCGGTATCTTTGGCCATCGTTCGTTATCGTCTTCGCTTGTGTTTCATTCGAACTTATCTCGACAAAACGATAAGGGAAAATGTGTAATTCATTAAATCACGGTATCGTTATAGCGTTACTTATGAACGTGATTTAGGATATGAAAATAATTTATCGCGCTATATCTGAGCATCTCGTAACTCCGTGCGAATTATGTAAGTTTACTAAATTTAATTTTTCCAACGTTCGAGCAACCTGCCGTCGTAGAACGACCGAAAGATATTTCACTGGAATTTAAAGGATTTTGATCGATAATTTACTTTCGAGATAGATTCGCTGATCCATCGATTCGAAAGAAGGACGCTTCTGCGGTTGCACGCACCTCGAACGTTCCCACAAGGTGTACGTACGGAAAAGTCGTCGTACAAGTTCACTACCTACGAGTTTAGCCGCGACTCTGACGACACGCTTGCTGATCACCGACGATGACGATCCGAGAATCCGATACATCGGACACCGAAGAACCTTTGCTTCTTCTTCCATTCACCGTTCGCGATCGCTAAAATATTCTTGCATCTTCACCTACCGCTGCTCTTTACATTCGTAATAATCGATAAAGTTTGCTTGCAAAGTTTCTTCGAACCGATCCACGCTGCGTAGTAGAAAAGGCAAGAAGGCGAGTACTCGTGTCGGAGCACGGTTGACTTCCGGTGACGGCAGCAGCCTTGCGGCTGACCGGATTTCAGACCCGTTTCGTCTCTCCTACCTGTCTCGATCCTCTAATCGTTCGCAAGAATCAGCCTCGCGATTCGTCGCGCTGATTTTCTGTTTGCGCAACGGTAATCAGCCGATCGTTTCGAAGAAAACCGTCTTAGATCGCGTAAAGTATCGCGTATCCTGCCATTGTTACGCGATCTACGATCTACGATCCGTCATTCGCGCGAAAAGGAACGTTTTATCGGACCAATGGGCGATCGAAAGACGATCCTCGTTTTCCTATTCGTAGGTGGACGCGTCATCGACGCGTCGCGTCGTCCTTGATAAATCGCGATCACTGCTGTGAATCAACGCTCGTTTCTCGATCACGTAATTCATTCTCGGATCTCATTCTAAATCAACCGATCGACACCTTCGTCGTATCGTTGCCGTTGACATTGACGTCGACCTCGAAAGTAGAGCTGGAAATTGGAACCGCTTGGCGGAGAGAGTTGGACGCTTGTTGAAGAAGCACCCGTCCGACTGAGCGAATCTACCAGACTGCGTTCTGAGAACTTTCACACGGTGTAATCTTGCTTGAACGAAGCGAGCCGCGGTGCATGAACGTCGAACGTATGCAAGTGAGCCACCGTGACGTAGCAGACGGAATGCAAACGATACAATTAAAGCGATGATCATTGAAACATCCTCGGGACGGACGCGTTGGTCGTTTTAGTGATACTCCATTTTCGATCGTTCGATAGTGTATTTATTTATTTATTTATTTATATAGCTGACGAGCTTTGTTGTTCGCGTTATTCCAGGCAGGCGAATGCGCGCCTCCGATTAATCTCGGCTTGGAACGACGGCCGCGTACGAGTACACGGGGATACCGGTTCCAGCTCGACAATGGAAAATCGTCCATTCATCCATTCACCGAACTCGACTCGCCAAATGCGAGTCGAGCAACGGTACGGGACTGTAAAGACCCGATTCACCGTTTGCCTCGGTTCATTGCTTCCGCCATTCTTGTGCATATCTATTGTTACGCAACTCGCTAATCTTGGACACACGCGTCCTGGAATCGAGTTCGCGTCATTTCACAGCCGCGAAATCATTAAGAAGAGCGATGGAAAGGTGTTTATCCGACGAACGGGTTAAACAGGGTCGGTCAGTCGTGAAGCGTGCAGCAGGTGCACGGCGTGCGTCCCGTTTTCTTCGTGCGTCCAAGAATACGCGCGCGTATCGCCTTTCAGGCAACAATAAACGCTTCGCGCTTCGTGCGCCGAATCTAAGGCCGGGTTAATTAACATTCTCAGTCTCTTTTTTCATCCTTGACTCCCTCTTTCTCGTTTCAAGAAAACGGCAATTAGAAGCCGAGTGTATACAGAAAATGGCGAAACGAACTTTTCGACAAGGTTTTATCGAACCGTTGTCGTCGACAACGTTTAGAACCCGAGTAGACGTAGAGGAGCAGCCGTGTGACACCGCGGAAAACCCTTGGGACGCGGTTGGGGCGTGTGCTTACGACCAAGTGGGAAGGGCTGGACAATTCTAATTAGCCGTTCCACTTTGCACGCTTCTGTTTATTGCTACTCGAGTAGCTACGCTATTCGTGGCTCGGCAGTAGCTGAAAATAATCCGTCGTTTGTTCCTTGTCGACAGAATGAAGAGATGATCGCGAGCCTACCGATACACAGCGGCGGTGGAGGCGGCGGTGGCAGCGGAGGGCCAAGTAACCGGGTGGGTCGTGGATTGGCCCTTCACAGGTCCAATTCCAGCCTGGAGCTTCCTCACAGTCCGGACCCTGGTTCTCGAGTGCCAGAAACTCCCCTAAGGCGGGAGTATGGATCTCACGGTAGGTGCTGTTTCGGTCGTAGGTGAAACGTCAAGGGTGAGAGAGTAGCGTGAAAGAAAAAGAAAAAATGAAAGAAGACGAATAAGTTCGTTGAGCCACGCGGTTGCTTTCGGTCGCAGGAAGCATCGACGTGGTAGCCGCTCAGTCAGTGACGGTTGGCGAGAACTTGTTCGCGATGCTCCAAGACCTGAGACCATCGGCATCGGATCAGCGAAATTCGGTCGGCGTGGATTACCTGAGGCGCGTTCCAGACGGACAAACGGTCGACGCGGACGAGGTTTGCGGGCCGACCGCCGGCTCCAGTCCAAAACTACGATTGAAATTGAACAGACTGTGGGGCGCGAAACCGCCACGGGCCATGGAGGAAAGCTGTAGCAGCCCCGTGTTGTCGGCCGATGTCGAGGAGAGGCACAGAAGGCGAGCGTTCGCTCATTACGACTGCCAATCGCTCACAGCGAATCTCGGTTACGCGGCGAAACTGAGGGGTATCCTGCTGGCTAGGAGAAGAAACACCGCGACCGGAGCTTCTGCCGCGAGCTCCTTCAGGGCATCCACCCCAGACGAGACGCCCGAGGAGGATGTCGGGGATGGAAAAGGTATCTACGCTTCTTCATTTTCAAATCGATTGTCCATTACCGATTCGAACGCGTTCTTCTTAGGTAACGAGTTGTTAGAATCGTGTCCGTTCTTCCGAAACGAAACCGGCGGCGAAGGAGAGCGAGAAGTCGGTCTAACTCGATGCTCCCAAGGCAACGGTGTTCACAGACCGTTCTTGGCGTACGGCGTCGCGGTTTTGGAACCGGCACCTGGAGAAACCAGCTGGAAGTACACTTGTCCGTTGCAGAAACGACCTCTCCCGATCGAGAGCGTCGACGAGGGCGCTCACTATTACAGGAGATACTTTCTCGGTAAACGATGGCACCTTGCCATACGAATCAAATGTCCCCCGGATCATCGAACCGTTTCTAAAGTCGTTTCCCGTGTCTGTTTCGTTTGATTTTTCAGGCCGGGAACATCAAAACTGGTTCGGTATGGACGAACAATTGGGTCCGGTCGCTATCAGTATTCGAAAGGACGCGAACCAATACAGGATAATAGTTCGTACTTCGGAACTGTTGACTCTTCGTGGTTCGGTACCGGAGGAAGCTCTAGGAATAAGGCCTCAGGGTAGACTACCGACCAGAGAACTGTTGGAACTTGTAGCGCCAGAGGTGCAATTGGGCTGTCTCAGGTTGGGCACCGCCGCGGCCGAAGAAGCTCTGGCTAGATTGGACGAACAGGGACTCTCCAATAGGTACAAAGTTGGCGTCCTCTACTGTAGATCCGGGCAAAGAACCGAGGAAGAAATGTACAACAATCAACACGCTGGACCAGCTTTCCTCGAGTTTCTCGACGCTATCGGTAAGCATCGTCGACGTAAAGTCTTAAACGGAAGGGAAGGATTGGGGGGAAATTGAAACGTGCAATTTCGCGACAGGCCAAAGAATAAGACTGCGAGGATTCGAAGGTTACAAAGCTGGCCTGGATACGAGAACCGACTCGACGGGTACGCATGCGGTCGCGGCGACCCATCGAGGAGCGGAAGTAACGTTTCACGTGTCCACCATGCTACCCTTTACACCGAACAATCGGCAACAGCTGTTGAGGAAGAGGCACATCGGAAACGACATAGTCACGATAGTTTTTCAGGTATGCAGACACGGTACCGTCGACGCGTCGCCTTACGGTTCTTTGCTCGATCGATTCGTTCCGTGAAACGACAGATTTCGCGTTTTGTCTATTTTTCAAAAGATTTATTCAACGCGATGCACGACAGGAACCCGGCGCGTTACCCTTCAGCCCGCGAAGGATACGTTCGCAATTCCAACACGTGTTCATCGTGGTCAGAGCCGTTGATCCGTGTTCCGAGAATACTCAATACAGCGTGGCGGTGTCCAGGAGCAAGGAAGTGCCCGTTTTCGGGCCACCTGTTCCACCGGGTGCCACGTTCGCCAAGGGAAAGACTTTTGCCGAATTTATTCTGGCTAAGGTGATCAATGCCGAAAATGCTGCGCATAGATCGGAAAAATTTGCCACGATGGCGACCAGAACCAGGCAAGAGTATTTGAAAGATCTTGCGACAAACTACTCGTCCACTACGATCGTGGATACAGGGCAGAAATTTTGTAAGTTATCTACCATTGTTCGATCGCTCCCACTTTTCGCTTGACTTAACTGTAGTACTTATTTCTCGACGGCGATTATTTGTTTCGCACAGCCATGCTGCCGTTCAGCAGCAAAAAGAAAACGGCCGTACGACCGAAACTATCTTGCGACGCCTCGCAACGCGGCGCTATATGCTGGCAAGTGATACTGGAGGACAGCAATCAGAACACCGACTGTTACCTTGGGATCAGCATAGACACGGTCGTTCTAATCGAAGAACATTCCAGACAAATTGTGTTTGTTACTGCCTGCGCGAGCGTACTCGGATGGCACGCCCAAACGAACAGGTGCTTTGTCGCTCCCTACTCCTTCTTTCTCTCGAGAGAGGGAGAGAGACTCGATTCGCAATACCTTAATTCGATCCGTTCTGTTACAGTTTGAGATTATACTATCATCAAGGGGAATGCATTACGATTCACGTGCGCGGCGATTACGGGGACAGAGACGAACTGATGGAAATAGTGGCGCGATTGAGAGCGGTGACTCAAGGGGCGCCCGCTACGGAATTGTCTTTGAAAAGAAACAGCTTGGGGCAATTAGGTTTTCACGTGCAACCGGACGGAGTGGTTACGCAGGTGGAAAGCATGGGCCTCTCTTGGCAAGCGGGATTGAGGCAAGGCTCTAGGCTGGTTGAAATTTGCAAGGTAGCAGTATCCACCTTGAGCCACGATCAAATGGTTGATCTGTTGAAAACGAGCGCTCAGGTCACGGTCACTGTCATACCGCCGAATAACGATGGTAATCCTAGAAGGTAATTAGAAGGCCTTTCCACGATGCATCGATCTACGTTCTTCTCCTCTTTTTTTTTACATTTCTTGTTTGTTTCTTTCTTTGTTCACGCATACAGAGGTTGTTCCCTGCAAAATTGTCAGTATTTATCGAGCAGCTACGAGGGAGACTACGAGAACGTAACTAGTCCGGACAATACGCCGACTCAGCAGACAGCCATGTCCCACCAGAGGAGATACGAGCGATCTTTCAGTCCACCGAGATCGAGCAACAGTTCTGGCTACGGAACCGGATCTAGCTCCAGGTCGTTCAACGATCCACGCTTCCCTATGGAGGGCACCATGACCAGTAGCAGTAGCGGACACAGTAGCACCGACGATCGCTGGTAAGAAAATCATTCGAAGGCTGCTCTATTCGATTCTTTGTTTGCAACGAGGAGGGCTCTGTTCCAGTTCTCCCCTTTTACTTAATATCACGAACAAGATTTTTCTTGCCCAGGTACGAACTGCTAGAACCTCAAGATCAAGAGAACGGACATCGCGCGGACGGTACTCCTCCACCGCCTCTTCCAGCCAGACAATCTTATCAAATAGTGACTCCCAAGTCCTCTCAAAAAAAGGACAAAGAGTCTCACTACGCGAGCAGCAAACAGTTCTCCGAGAATTTGAAACATCACGGTCATGATCACTACGCGAAGGAGAGTAATTACGTATCCTCGAAAACGATACAAGAGAACAACGCCAGGCACGATAATTATCAAAGACAATTGGATAACGTTCATCGAAACCAAGATCACGTCACATCCAACTACGTGAAACTTCAAAAGGAAAAGTACGAGATGAAGCAGGAAAACTTGTACGCCTCCCAGAGGGAGCTCCATAAAAACGATGTCCATCACATTGGTCATCAGAAATTGAACGCATCGAACTCGTTACCGTTGGCTCAAAACGCGGCTTACAGTCTTCCAAAGTCGAACAGTAACAACAATCTGGGTAGATGCAACGAGTACGAACAATCGAAATTCGAGTATGAAGGAAAAGCGGATAGAAGTCCGAAATACGAAATGCAGGATGAAAAAATGATGGACAACAGGACGGCGGTGAATAAGTACGAGCAGGATATTCGAGTGCACGATAAGAGACCGATAAACTACGAGTATCCCGAGGAGGTGTACGAAAGGAGAAACAGTAAGTACGAGATGGAAATCGCAAAATACGAGATCGAATGTCAACACGGGATCAACGAAAGGAAACACGTTGACAACGGTGAACAAACACGCGAATCCATTAGATACGAACTCCCGCACGAGTTTAAAGTCGGCGAGAAGGTAACCTGCTTGAAGACCACCATCACCGAAAGACCAGTGCCTCACAAGATAAACGTGGAATATCGACAAACGAAAGATTTCGCCGCCAGCAGCTTACCGCCAGAGGTGAGAATTCCCGACGTTAATTGCTCGGAAGCGACCACTCTACCGAGCGAGGATGAATTATCGAACGGTTCCGGAAGCGTGTCGCCTCGATTGAGAAGAGCCGGCAAACATCGCGGCGGAAATCTTACTCCTTCGAGCGGAAGCTCGAGGAATCAGAGTCCGAGACCGAAGCCAGGTGTTCGTAATTCTCACAGGAACTCGGCGAATCTAACGTCCAGCACGCTTCAAGAAGACCTAATGAAGCTGATCAATCCTGATTACATCGCGGACGATGGTCAATTAATAAACAACAACAACACGACCGGGAACGTAATGATCAGCAATCAAAATCCGAACAAGATCAACAACAATATGCTCGAGATTCAAAACAGATGTAGATCGAGAGAGAATTTGTGCGGTGGCAGCGGCAACGCCCTCACCGTTTTGCCCGCGAACGGACAGGAGAACGGAAACGGTGGATCGGAAGTGATCCTCACGATGGCCAGACCGGCAACGGTCATCTCCAATGCGAGCACAGCGTCTAGTCCCGCGCCGAGCGAAAACAAATTATCGAAGGAAGAAAGGTAACGACCGGTACCTACCTACATAGAAAATCCGATCGTTCAATTTTTACTTCCGTACAATCCATTGCAGTTTGATGCACGCTCTGTTTAGATTATCGCCACGCGTTACCAAACCTCCTCATTCGATTTCCAAAGCACCGACCAACCTGACGTCCATCAAAGACACGAAAAATCACAACGACTCGGACGTGGACTGTTGGCAAAATCATCACGTGGACGCTAGATCGAAACAGCACGGTCAAGACTGGTCTGACGATAGATTAATCGATGGCTGCAATACCATCGCGTAAGTTTCGAACCGAACTATCACGTCTCCTATCACTTGGCAAAAAAATCATCGACTAATCGTAATCGTAATCGCAGCCGGATTCTTCGGAATATTATCTCGACACGGAGTTAGGCTCGCGAAACATTTCAAACGACGTTTCTTTTACTTTGTTTCAGAAATTCTGTCTCGGATCTGCAATCTCACTTGTCCACCCTCGAGTTGAGGGTAGCCAGAGAAACGCGTCGAAGGCTGTCCTTGGAAGACGAAGTACGTCGTCTGAGGGACGAGAATCGTCGTCTACAGGACGAAAGCCACGCGGCTGCCCAACAACTTAGACGCTTCACCGAATGGTTTTTTCAAACTATAGATCACCAATAAGTATATACCTACCCTGAACGATTCGTAACTACTCGTTCGATCGTTCTGTGCGAGCAGTATTAGTTACGCGTTTCCTCGACAGATCAACGCGCGAATCAAAGATTATTTAAAGCGATCGCCGGTCGCACGATTGATAAGTACATGCATTTTGAGACGCGCGTATCGTTTGCGCGATATTTTGTACAATAGACACTTTGTTTTAGATTAAAGTCGTAAAGATATCGTCCAAGTTACCATCGTGACACTCCCCGTGCACAAGTTGACGGTGATTCGTGTGCAAGATTAAAAGAAAAAGGTACATAGTAGCTGTTGTTCATTCGGGGGAATATTGTTTCGTTAACGATGCGCGTTAATCGCAACAACGTCTCACTTTGAAACGACCAAATATTGCTAGTTGTTTAAGAATCACTTTAACTTCGTCCGTAATTTATTACGTGTTTTTGTATAATTCATCAGGGTATTGTTAAGCGAAACGCGAGGGATATTAAACTTTCTTTCATCCGTTGAGATAAACAATTAATTTCTCCTCGTAAAATATCTCCTGTAACATCGATAATAAATGAAAAAAATAAATAAATAAAAAGAATTCGATTTCAATAGGAAATAATACAATGCAACCAATTAGAATAAAATAGTTTATTATAATTCACAGGAAAAAAAACAAGACATTCTCATGACGCCTGAAAACTCACTGTTCTGCATCGATTAACAATAATGTTTAGCCGTGGTTACCACTCTTTCCTGTTCGAGACCAACGGAAAGCCGCATTCGTGTATCATGTCAGATCGCCGAGGTGAGCAATACCGGAGTATTTATTCCACCATGTAATCTACGGTAAAATTTTTTTACGATAATTTTCTCTTTAAATAGTAATGTAATAACAGATTTTTGTCTTCGTGTATATATATCTATAAGTGTGTATATATATTCATATGCATATGTTATATACGCATAATCGGAATACCCGTGTCAACGGAGAAAACCTAAGACCGCTCTCACATAATACTCTACCACCGCGTAAGGTTGCAACGATCGTAGCCTGGTTCGACGTGGTCCGTGGCCAATGAACAGTAAATCCTTCGGTTCGGGAACGCGTTCGAATCTTTAACCCTCGAACGTACGGAGTCGGTTTCGATATCAATATGGAAAAGATTAAAGAAAATGCTCAACTGTTCGTCCGAGAGTTAATAAGCAAACTAATGATACACGAGAGCAAAACATCGCTCGTTGTCCGCGACGCGTATCATCAAGATTTTTTACCAGTTTTCGTTCGCTTCTTAAGTACATCGAGAAGGTATGCGTGGAAAATGTAATCATTATTCTCGTTGCGCGTCTAACGAAATATACATGTATGCCCTGTGCGCAAAGAGGATCTTGTTCGGAAAGATTCTATTGCGTGTGTCGTCGACAACGAGAAACGGTCAGGAGGATTTACAACGACCGACGCTTTTCCACGTTTTCCCATCTTCCCCTTATTTTATCATTTTTTTTAAACGAACAAATTTAACCCTTTAACTCTAAATCGGGACATGGTATATATTAAACTGTTTCAACGTTCGGATGGAAACTCGCTGGGGAGAAACAGCACGAGCAGAAACATGAGCACCAGATACATAAGTTACGCGTAGTGCGTTTCCGTCGAAGCGGTGCATACTGCGAGAAAAATCAGCGTCAAGACACGGTGAAATAGTAAAGCGACGAGGCGTCCTCGACATTATGGCACGAAAGGCGAAGGTATCGCTTTACCGGTTTACGGGAACAAAGCTTACGTTTCTCTTCTCTTCCGTTTCGAAACGACTTATTTTTCAAGAAATCTCTAGTTTCACGAGGAAGCCGTGCAACGAAGAGAAGAAAAACGGTATCGTTCGAGGATTCGCGATCGGAGACCGAGGCACAAAAGTTTCGAGACGCGTGGGACAAAACGGACAGGGGCAGCGGAGGTTGTGTGATTATGTACAAGAAATTTCATCGATTTCTCCAAACGGGAATCGAAAATCAACCGTGCGTTTAACCGACAAACGAGTCGAACTAGGACGAGAGGATCGATGAAAAATATCGTTCATCGCCGGTATACATTTTTCACCTTTCACCTTTTTCGCGCTTAATCACTTTGCCAATTATCTTATTTTTCTGCACAGCTTTCGAAAATTCGTGCTCCTCATCGAGAATTAATCTCGATTCTACCAACGACGCTTCTCCTTCGATAAATTGATCTCGAGCACGCGATCAGATCGAATTGGATATCGTCCAAACTTTGATCCCTAAACGCTCGAATATTACGAATAATAATATATCGGAGAGTAGTACACGCCTCTGCGTCGTAGCTAATACAAAAATACTGTTCTGTTGCACCATTTTTTTCTTTTCCTACTATTCCTATTATTTTACGCATAATAATCCCTGTAGTCTTTTAAAAACGCTCCTTTATCGCTGTCAAGGGAAACAAAGGGAGGAAACGAAAAATACTGAATACGGCATATAAGTATATATATATATACATATATAAAAAAGAAAAAACAAAAAATCACGGTAAGAGGACTCTTTTTTTCTCTTCAACGACAAATGTTTCGCAAACACAGCGAGAACATACGAAATCAAACGATCTCGATGTACGATAGGCCTTCGTTTATATGGAACGAGACGATTCGAAAAGTTGGGATACTCCAGATACAATGGTACCTCGGTATACGACCTTAATCCGTTCCTGATGTCTGGACTTATACTGCATCACCCTTTCCCATAAAATAATTAATCCGTTCTCATGTAAAAAAAATTATACCTACGTTAATTTAGAATTTCGCCGGAATTCTAGCGTACATCGAGACGGTAGTTAGAGAGGGGAAAAAACGAATAAGCAGAAAACTGTGTTTCCTGTTTGGAAATTAATAGATTCGGATAGCAATCGGTAAAAAGTCAGCCTCTCGTACGTGTAGATGATCGTGCGAGGGCCACGTATACTCGTAAACGCGCACGTTACCCTCCTCCGTTTCCGATTTGTCTCGTAACTTTCGATGAATTGCGAAGGGAAACGCGACGACGATACAATGTTCGATACAATCGCGATATAATGCCGTAACGTGCCACACGTATCCAAGAAAGAAGAATCTACGGAAAAACCTTTCTTTCTTTTTCCTAGATCAAATCAGTTCATGATATGCGAACGACACGGACTGACGGACTAATTACTTTATCTTTTCTTTCTCTCTCTCCCGATATTCTATATTTCTTTTTTCTTGTTTCTGTACTCGTTCAATTAATTACAATTCAGCATGGCGAACAAAAGATTTCGTCCCTTTACTCGAGAGAAATCACATTGACGCACCAAGCCATTATTCACTACGATTATTCATCATATAATTGTGTATATATATATATATATATAATATATCATATATTCAGCATCACAGTAAGATAGCGCCCTTCATTATTAAGTGATCGTCGATCAGTTCGGACCATTTATATTCATTCCTGTTAACAACATTCTTCTACAACAACCCGTCTAAACATTGTCGAATAATTTTCATCTGGCATCGACGTCGATGCAATTGTTACGTACATGATTGGTATCGTGTTCGTAGAACTGATACGTCGAACTAGCAACTTGTCAGAAAGTGAAATAAAATCGTCCGCGTACAACAGGCCTGTGTATCAAACGAGCTCGTAAAATACTGATACCGGACAAAGGAAAAAAGAAAAAATAAAATAAGGTGAGACGATTAAATCGACAATCAAATTAAAAGAGAATAGAGAAAGAAAACGAAGTCGTAAAGCTTGCAAACGGAAAACGATTAACGACAGCCCCCGATACACCTCGTTAGCTTGCACGTTATCTCGAAAGGAAGAAACTACTTTTTTGTACGTTACACCCTTGGTAAACCTCGAGGAACTTTGTACGTAACGGTACGTACAAGAACCGAACAAAACAATGGAAACGTTTCTTTAATTAATACTTTATCGATCGGAAGCCTAGTTAGTATTTTTTCATGTAAGTGAAAATCGATTAGATAAACCTTCGTTTCATTATTTTGTTCGCTCTTCGAATTCAACGAGCTTTCAAATCATACGGTATCGGTGGACCGTCTACGTTCGATCTGCTCTACTTACAAAGTAGCAAAAGTATAGGTTTCTACAAATACATACTTATAATTACTCTGAAAATAAATAGTTATAAAAATAAGCGAGCATTTTATGCTTAAAATACCTTAGGTAAAAACTTAATGTTTAGTTTGCACCACGTTCGGAGTGGAATGTGTGGTCTCTCTTACTAGATCGTAAAAGCGTCATTCTAATAAAACATTCAACTATCATGTAAAAAAAAAAAAAAACATTAACGACACAACTCGATCAATATAATTATCATCCGTAGTGCTCGTTAAAAAAAAAAAAAAAATGAAAAAGAACAAAAACGTGAGTCAATAAATAAGAGTGCAACAAGAGATTAGAAATAGGATAAAACACGATATCGATATCGATACTCGTTGAATAAATAACTGTGCTCTTAAAAAGCTGGCCTCCGCCTTCTCCTTCGTACGAACATTCAATTAGGTACATTGTTCGATTCGTCTTTATGCTTTTTCATTCCACCCTCCCACCTTCGACCCATTCCCATCCCCGTATTAATAATTCACAGCACTACAGACTGTGGAAGAGAAAAAGACGTTTACGCGGAAATAGTACATTTTCATCGCGAATATACGAAACGCAAGCACTCACGATTTCGATATTTTAACTTAAAATCGTGAAAACTGTTTTGTACTCTTCTACAAACTTTTCCTTTTCGCATCTACTTTACTTACACCTAAGATCGCGGGGAACGTACTCTGCAACGATTCGCGCGATAGTCGAGCATTCGAATCGTTGCTAAAAGAGTAGCGAACACCGCTAAGACAGGGTTTCAACGAAACGGCACAAAATTCATCACCATCGTCCGCTTCCCGAATTCGAAGTGTACGGGACGGGAAGCATCGGTCGCAAAATTCCACTCGAACAGAAAGAAACCGTGAGCGAAGACTGAGATTCCAACGATACATGGAAAACTTCCATAGGATTTTCTTTTCCCCCCCCCCATATTTCGCGCCACCGATCATTTTCATTTCCTGTAGGAACGAATCCGGTGGCACCAAGTTTTCAATACCTTACAATACCGAAACGTCGGTCAACAATTTGATACTATTCACGACGCGTCCTCTTCGGACGCTGACTGACTCCAACGTCGTCGGTACCACGCGACTTTTTACCGATTTGTACCTGACTCTGCGCGGTAAGCTGCAACGAAATCGCGTGGGTATTTAGTTTCTCCGCCAGCAACAGGTCTTTCAGACCCTTCATCTTTTGACTGTACAACGTTATCCTCGGCCTTTCCTGCTCGGAATCAGTCTCCACCTCGGGATCAAGGTTTTCCTGAGACGTGGAAGGCGCGGGAGGCAAAGCGTCGTCCGGCGGGGCGACGAACGGTTCTCCGCCGCCTTGCAAGAGGTAATCTCTGTTAAGTATTTTCTCGCTGCACGCAGCCGTCAAGGCTTGGATGCTGGGATGCATCGGTGCCGGATTAGAAGGTACTCTTGACTCTAAACTTTTGATCAAATCGCGTGCCGCGTTGCCCCTTTCTTTCGTCTTACAGTAATTGTTGTTGTTATTGTTGTTCAACGTTTCATCCGGGCTGGTCTCCCTCTTCTGCGACTTGTCCTCTTCCTGTTTCGTTTCCACGTCGTAACATTCGATAATTACCTGAGCGCGAATACTGGCGTCGAACTTTGAAATTGTATTCACCAACGGTCGTGCCCATCCTATGTGTAACACGGGTGTGTTTGCTCCTTCTTCCCATTGGCAGATACCGTCGTAGAACCTTAATAAATACGCGAAGCAACGGGGTTGCCGTAACAAACGCTCGTCCGCCCGCACCGTGTGCGGTATCAATTCGTTGGCTATTTCCAACAATTCTTTGTATATCTCTCCATCGTCCCGCGAATAGTCGTATCTGTTGCGCGTTAAAACATACAAGAGAGTCATTAAACAATAACGCAACGTACTTCTATTAAATAACCTCGCGCATTCAGTCCGTGTACTCACTTTCTTAAAACGTCCGCTGCGTCTGCCCACGACGCCAATGCGTTCGCGTGCAATCCGTGCCTGTACAAGTAACCACCTTGGTAAGTGTAAGGATACACGTGAGCGTTTCCGTAATATTTCCTGGCGGACCGTATCGCTTCCTGGAAACGGTAAAACGTTCTAACGTTAGGAACTCGTAAAAACGAGCAAGTACCAGCAGCCTGAAAAATTTTAAACGCTACCTGAAAGAGCTCTATAGCCGGCGGTCTGCCAGGAGTAGGCGCAGCCTCCTCCAAATCTCCCAAATTGCCAAGAGCCATGGGATACTTTGCTAGATGGCCTAAATCGTATAACAACCATAATAATTCTTGCTGAAGCAATGCCACTTCTGCCGCGTCCGCGGTTGCGCTTAAACTAGGGTTTATAGCAGACACTATGGTGGCAACTTCCATAGCTCTGTTGCATACAACCGCTTGTCCATTCACGTACAACCAGGATCGCGAAGCCACTCCAGGTTCCACTGGTTGACCACGTTTATCTTCGTTTCCTTTTCCTGAAAATACAGCAGTCTTCTTAATCGATTTAAACATCGACGATGCATTACCAGTTACAACATTTACCATGCCATGTAACTTCAGCAGTTTCTATACCATCCTCTCCATAGACCACCCAGGCATGATCTTCTGACATGGCAAGGTGTACATCCTTGAATCCCAAAACCTGACAACCGGCAACCACGGCAAAAGCCACCCCAAAACAATCTAATTTATTTGCCGTCAGGTAGCTATAGAGGCTTTGTAAATGCGCGCGATCCTTATAGTAGCTTCTCGTTAAAGAATTCCATATCACGTCGGAGACCTTTTTGACCAGTTCCCTGGTCGCGTATTTGGTGTCGTAAACCGTGAGATCGACCGCACCCTTGATCACAGCGTGAAATTTAGTGTAAAGGGCTTCGGCGATGTGAAACTCGACAGCCGGCAGTTTCGGTTCATCGTAAACAGTGCTTTCCTGCGACGCAAATGTCCGATTGCAGGTTAGGGAGTTTTCCACTGCGCCGACTAGGATCGAGAGCAAAGCCAAGTCCGGTTCCGAGCTGTTTTCCAATTGATTCTGGAAAATCCGCACGATCGAGGAGATGCTCTGAATAGGAAATAGAGCCTTATCCTCGTCTCGAAAACCCGCCATGTCGAGGACTGGCAGGCAATACGCACGAGATCGAGATCTTCCCTCAAACCACGAGTGTCATCTTGTTTCCCGTTTATCTTGACAGAAACCTTCGACGAATTCGTGCGATCCGTTCGGCTCTTTCTTCCTTGACTAACGATACACGCTAGTCACTCTCGATTTTCTCCTTCTCAACGCGAATGTTTTACATTTCCACACCATAAAACGTAACACAACCGTTCATCAGTCAGCGGCGCGCCGCCACTAAGACCGTTTTCATTAAGCTTACTTTCTGCCGCTCAACAAAGCGGGAAGGCAAGTTTTCATGTCAGCGACTTACGTTTAACGTCCTCGATGCGCGCGTTTTATGTTCTAGAATTTTCCAAATGATCTGCGAAATAACTATTGCATATTGAATCCTAAAACGCTTGAAAAATCTAATTGTCACTCTTCGTTATTCGATGCAACAGTATCCTTTGATTATTTTCACGATGCTCAGAAGTTTACAAGGTAATTTTTTACGCATTTATAATATTCAAGAGTCCGAGTAATCTTTGTGCAAGGTTAGAATTTACAAATTCCTTAATACTACCAAACGAATTGTGCAATTAATTTCGCGTAACTTGTCTAATAGTTAAATATGCAAACAAAATGTATAAATCATTATTATTTAATACAGGAATTATACGAGCAGTCAACGATAAATAATAAAAAATATGTTACTAGATGGTCGCAAGGTGGCGCCATAAGAGTAACTGTAAACGGCGGTTGGACGTTTACAATCTTGGCTTGTTCGTTTTACCTTAAAAACAGTGTTTTCAACGAAAAAGTTACAAAAGATCAGTCAAATTTGTTTATAACTGATCTACCGTGTTGAGTGCATTCACTAACTAACATTGCACGCATTAATTTGTTTTATTATTACAGACGGAATATGAAGGTTACGATAAAAAGTGAGTACCCAGGTCAGAACTTAGTATTTTTATTTATAGTTTGTTTGAACATTTTTACATGGTAGTTACTCGCGTATCTCATTAAAATTTAACTTAGATTCGTTGTTTGCGGTTATTGTTGTCCGTTTAAAACACGAATCGTTGCCTGTAGAGGTAAAAGATTACCACAAATTGTTTTATAGGTTGGACCGGTGTTGCCACCTGGCGTTGGATAGCAAATGACGATAATTGCGGTATATGTAGAATGCCTTTCGACGCCAGTTGTCCAGATTGTAAAATTCCTGGAGATGATTGTCCGTTAGGTAAGTTAGATTCTATATTTATATGCAACCCGAAGTTATTAAAATTATTACAATTTTTTATAATAATCACAAAATGTTCGTAAATTGGCGCGGTAGCGTCTGCGCAGTCGCAAACGTTAATATCGATCGGTGTGCCGAACGAAACGGATCCTTACGTATATCGTACACGACATACCGTGTTCTCACGCGCGCGTACTAACGCGTATTCGCGCGTGCCAATGTAAACGCAACAAACTCTTGTTGTCGGTGGTTAGCGAAAGCACAAGGTGCGCGTGTCTGTCTGGTAATTGAACCGTTCTTCGATAAACACGATTCGATACTGTTCCAGTCTGGGGCCAATGTTCTCACTGCTTCCACATACACTGCATCATGAAGTGGCTGCATTCTCAGCAAACCAGTCACCTTTGCCCGATGTGTCGTCAGGAATGGAAGTTCAAGGAGTAGCTACTGGTTTGCCGATGGTCCCGCAGGTGTCAGCACGCAACGAATAATCAGGTAACGCTTACATCCTGTACCGCGTATCTCGGCATAATAGGTTTACCATCGAACTCGCATCGTTTCAATGGAAACGCGTTCGCTCGTTTTCATTGTTCCCTTCGCGAAGTTGCGTGTACGAGCGCGTCTCTTCTGACCTTGCGTTTTTCAGGTTCACCGATTTCTGCAAGTTGTACCGCTGTAAGTTTTCTTGAAGAAACGAAAGAACTAAATTCGTAGCAAGTAATGAAATCCGATGGTTACGCATAAAATGTATAGCGTGTTCCAAGCTTCAATTTATCCGGAAAACAAATTATCGGTTGTCCCAATGGATCGCACTCGTCACGAGTAACTCGACTCTATCGAAACGAAGTTTTACGCCGAATAAGCTACATTAACGTCTAAAATACAGTGTGATAATGTTATTGAAAATATTTTAGCGTCCACGAGAGTTAGTCGGTGAAATTAGAATTGTAAATTGTAACTTTGGCACTAAGTATGCGTTTGAACGCGGCAACGTGGTTCTTGTGTCGCCTGCTTACGTAATAGTTTTCCTCGACTACTCATCGTACGAACACAATACGTACTATGAACGAAACTCGTCGATTCTGCATTATTTAATACCATACAGTTCACCCTTTGCATTTAGCGTTCATTTTTCGCGTATCTGTTTCCTGGCCTACGAACTATCTTATCTACCGGCTGACTAAACTATCCGTCTGCTATCCACGCGTGTAGGCGATCGACGCGCGAAATCTATCTTTTCCCGCTCGTGCGGCCGTCGAATTAAGCCGATTTCACGAGTAATATCCTTATTCGATGGATCGTCGACGCGTGATCATTCAGCTCGTCAAATTAACAATTCATTCTCCTCGATATACCACAATGCGAAGACGTTGATTGGATCAGTACACGGATGGATTAGGGTGAAAGTAGAACAAGTAGCTCTTCTCTACGTTGGGAAACAGACTGTGAAGAAAATTTAGATGCACGCGTATAGTAATGTAACGTAACCGTTGTTACACGACGATTATTTAAAAGTATGAATAAACGGCCATCGTGATGTCACCTTTTCCAGCCAAGGTGATTTGCATAGGAAGATTATAAACATAGACGCATGGCGCGTATTAGCAGAGTATAATTGGCGAAAGTAAAACTTGACGAAACGATAGGGTACATCTTGTTCGATCTAACATTTCGAGCGAATATCGGGGTTATAAGAAACAATGCGGGTCAGCAGGGGTTCTGGATGTACCGTGTTGGATTCGTGTTGGAGAACGGTGAGCGTTCGCGAACCAAGGAGACCTAATGGGCTCCTTCTCCTTCCTTTACCCTTTCTCGTTTCTACTGTCGTACTGGTTTTCCTTTTTCTTTCTTCCGCGTCTCCGCTCCCTCCCTGAACTACTCTCTCACGCGATATTATAAGAGGTAAGGTATAAGGAAATCCAAAGAGCGTAGGAATGAAAAAAAATTTCATTCGAAAAGAACGCAATTACGTGACAGAAGACGCGATATTCTAGCATCTTTAAACAATAAGAAGTAAACGCCACGTTGCTTTCTCGTCGGAAACGAACAACTCGCGTTTATCTTTTCATCCTGTTCGTCTTTAACGCTCTCCATTCACCAACCCGTCTCCATTATACTTGCCGCTCGATCTGCTTTTATTCTTGGTCTTCTGGTATCGCTCGAAATACCACGAGTTGTCCGTATTTATACCACGCGTATTTTTCTTTTCTTTGCTCTGTTCCGTGCTCTGTACACGTATATTGTTTAGGTTACTCAACCCTTGCCGCAGTTCGCTTCTCTTCCATCTTCGTCACACCGTTCGTGTAATCGCGCCCAGTGTGCGCTACACACACATATACTTTCTCTCTCTCTCTCTCTCGCGAGTGTTCAATTACTCCCGTCTTGCTTTTTACGGTACCCCCTCTTTCCCTCTTTATCACTATTTCTCTTTCTCTCGCCCCCTCCAACTCTTCATTCCCATTTTCTCTTCTTTTCTATGGTAAGCGTCCACACACACGCGCCTACTCCAGAGATACGAGATGTTTGAATTCTCTTATCACAGGTATTTCTAAGACCAACGAGAACGTAATACAACGAAGATCGCTGTAAAGTTTAATTAACGTCGGGCAAAAACTTTCCGTTTCCCTTTTTTTCCTTTCCCAGTTTACGCGATCGTTTCGGTTCTCGATTCCCTCGATTTCCGTCTCGCTTCGTTTCTGTGCGGCGCGTCCTTTAGCTGGCTCGCACACGTAGAGCGGCGTCGGCGCTGGCGGAAGAGGAGGAGAGGTGGGTGCAAAGCTGTACGTATGCACTGCCTACCTGATGCCTCGAGAACTCGAGTTAGAGCTCGAGTCAGTCACGTGGTCTGTTGAACACGAAGGATGTTGTGGGATCGCGAAGTCAGTTAGCGGCAGTCCGTTGAACGGGCAACCGAGAGAAACGGAACGGAGCTGGCACGCTAGCCTGGTGGACCATTGGTCAAAGGGAAGGGGAAAACACGATGGAGGAAAGAGGAACGAGGTCTCGGAGGACAGAGAATAGAGAATAGAGACGATAACGGATCGAGGATACTCCGACCTGCAAGCAACATTTCGTGTTCGTTACAATTGTCGAAGAATAAACGGTGTAAACTATGTGAAAATTGTTGTTGTGAACGGGCAACGGACGGAGTAGCTGTTCGAAGTACTCGAAACAACGACTAGAGTGCTAATTTGACTCATTGCCTTGGCGCTTCTACGGTGTTACGTACCGTGGCGAGACGTACAATAGCCGTGGAAATATCCGTGGAAAATATCCGCGCGAAAAGCGAACATAGGAGAAAGTAGGCTGTAAAGAGAAGTAAGGTTGAAATTCCTGTGGAAATAAAAATAAAGGGAAGGAATGTATCTGGTCGGTGAATCGGCGCGGCGCACCTGACTGTTGGTAACGCGTGTTCGGCTTGGTTCGCCTCGGAGTTCCGTTTCGCACGAACAAAGCTCCGTTTCGTGGCAAACGCGTTGGGTCACGCTCACGCTCTACCGTGAAAATCGTATCGTCGCATCGGCAAGGGCCACATTGCGTCTGCTAACGATGCACGCATCTACGCCGTGACTCAACACGCGACGATTCATCGTTACGCGTTCACGTAACCTCCTGCTGCTGTTTGCTCGGATGGAACTATCGGGGAACCAAAGATAATCATTGTCGTTATCTCGAACGACCTCGATTCGATTCGATACGATTCGTCTGCCGATTAGATCGAACGAACATGTTCGTAGCGCGAAAGGAATTCGCGTAGAGGTGCAATCGTTGAAGAGTAGCGATCGTAAAAAGATAAATATGCAATTGGCAGCGACGCAGAGAGCACACCCGCCACCGGTACCGCCACGACCGAGTAGGCAGGTGGTCGCAGAGGCCCTCAAAAGATCGCCAAGGCCGCCCTGTCCGACCAGGCAGGCACCGCCGCCGCCCAACGCCAAACCTTGGAGGTCCGATCGAGAACAATCGGTCAACAATAAGCAGCAACAGGTGTGCCCGACCGCTGGACGTACGGTCGTCTACGAGTCGATTAAGGAATCGTCAGGTTCGAAGGAAACCAGCGACGAGAACAACGATCACTCGGCTAGAATCGTGATCGAGAAGGAAGCTGATCGGCGGGCCAGCGCGAGTGAAAGGTGCGACGAGGAGGAGAATCGTCGTGGAAGAAATCCACCGCGGGAAAGGCGGCACCGAGCCGTCCTCGAGCAACAACATCGTGAAAATCCTACCGAACCACCATCCGAACGATCCGTCGATCGTCCCAGTTCTAATCTCCGAGAGAATTCTTCCTCCAGCGATTCCACGTTCAAAGATAGACTCGACCAAGATGAATCGGAGCGCACGAAACAGTGTAAAGAAACGACCCTGTCCTCCAACGCGAGAAACGAGAAAGAAGAGCCGTCTAGGAAAACTCCTGCCAAATCGAACGTGTCCTTTGACGACGAACGTCTCTCTCCGTCCATCAGTCCAGAGTCCAGCGGGGAAAAATCGAAATTAAATCAAGAAAATAAATTCGAAAGTCGACCCGCGCCCACTCAAAGGTCCTGTCTCGCTAAGTATAGAGATTCCGCGGCGAAGAAGAATTTGGACTCGCGGACAAACGCGGAAAACGTTGATCAGGATCGTTCCATGGTGGTCGTTGTCAACGAATCAGACCGTAAAGCTGAATCGAACGATCTCGACGGCGATGGCGGCCTAGACGATGACGACGACGGCGACGATGACGACGAGGAAGAGTACGAGGAGGAGGATCGCGACGGTGAAAATATTCATCGACAAGACTGGCTGGAAGCCGGTGTTCCCTATTCGTCCACGCAGATCAGGCTGTCGGGCGACGACGCCGACAGAGTCAACGGACTTGATCGCTGCGAGAACGAGAAAGTCGGTGATCTTAATATCCTCAGGTAGTAAACCGATCAGAAAGTGGAAAAATTTGTACAAAGAAATTATTCGCTCTACTTGCACGGTTGTAGACGAGAAGAGAGTACGCCGTTAGCAAAATGTGTTCGTACTCGCGGTTTATCATTTTCGTTTTCTCACGGAAACAATGTTTATTCGATGCGTTACGTTAACGGGCATTGAATGAGCGCGAAAGCGGCGGAAACGTCGTTACAAATTCGTTTCATACTGACGCGTTAATTATCGCGAAAAACCGCGATGCCTGTATACCTATTACGAGAACGAATGCAACCATCCAGTGGTTCGATCTACGACTTTCTCGAGTTACACTATACGTCTTGTCGTAATAATTTTAATTACACCTCGAAATATCCACCAATGAGAAAGGATACACTTTTCTTCTTCTTTTTGTTTTCTTCTATTGCCTGGTGACCCACATTGTCGTTGTTTGTTTTTCTTTTCTTTTTCTTTTATAAGAAGATCGTTCAGAGACGCGGAGGTAAACTGATCGAAAAATCGCGTAGAATAAAAGAACGATTCGTTGAAGTCTCACGTATTTTCAGCTGGTAGGCGGTCGATTGGAGATCGATCGATGCTCGTTCGATAGAACGAGCAAATAACGGTGAATCGGTGTTCCGTTTTTGTACTCTGAACGAAACTTTCGCCTTTTTCAGTATACAAGAGAGGATCGCGATGTCTTCCTTGCAAGGTCTACCGCCATTACCGAGGAGCCTGAGCGGATTTAATTTGACCGGTGGACGAGGCGAGGGTTGCGAACCACCGCCACCGCCCACTAGATCCTCTAGTAAAACGCAAAGAGGCGGTAAAGCTTCGATTCAGTCGTCGTCCAGGCCATCACCACCTGCCAGACAGCTCACCACCTTGGATACTCAACTGGCTATACTCAGGAGAGAAATGGTGATTGTTGAAGGCACACGCTTTTCCATCAAATCGTTGCAACCAATCTTCCATTGCTGTCCTTTTTTCTTTATTTTCTCGAGAACGCTGAATCAGATGTTCGTTTCAAACTCCGACAACAGCCTTGATTAAAATAATTTCAAGATTCAAATGAATTCTTAAGCCAAATAAAATATCGATAGTTTGAATAGGCAGCGTTGGTCGTTCATTGGTTAATACAAACTATATTTATGAACTAACAGGAAAATTCCAATGATTTGCATATAACGACGTAACGTTTCTATAAATGGAACGCTAACATGATCAGAGAGTATCACTGATGGCATTCCTCTGGCTACTTTTTTTTTATTACTTCCTTCTCGACATTTCTTCTGTCGATTTCGTCAGACCGATATGTCACGTTGTCAGTATGTTTGTTAAGTTTATCGATAAATTTTATTCCCTATCCATAGAGATAATAACATGTAAATGTTGTAGTAAATGAATCGATCAACGTTTGACGAAGAACGTTTGCCCGCTGAAAAGTTAGGCTAATAGTTTAATAGTAAATCCAGACACGAAGCGAACTGGCACAGCCGCTCCCACGCTGCATTCCCTCAGGCGTGACCTCCCCTCTTTCACTCTTTTTCATGCCCGCTCTCTTTCACCTTCGTTCCTTCTACTTCTACACTCGTGCTCCTCTACTTGTTCTTCTGCTTCTTCTTCTCTCATTTCCATTCTCATTTTGCGCGCCTCGCTTCTCCTTCGTTCTCACGTCCAACAAGTCGTTACTTTCCACTAGTCAATTTTCAGTTGTCTTTCTTTTCTCGATTACGTTAACGCGTGGCATTGTATCTTTTTAGTTTGGACTTCGACAACTGGATCTTTCTTTGCTCTCGCAACTATGGTCCCTGAACGAATCTATTCAAGAATTTCGGCAACTATTGCAAGAGCAAGAAGACAGAGCACCGTCTCCTTCGCCAAGCAGCGAAGAAGGAGACGACACTTCCTACGGAAGCCATCCTCCGCCACCACCGAGAAGACCGGCTCCCGGTGTACACCTTCACAGACCGCCTAGGCCACCGAGACCACCTAGACCGCCTCCCAGCGACGAGTCACCTTCGAGCGAAGAATATGGAGCCGTTTGACGCTGCGCTCGAGCAAACTGTTCGCATTCCAGAACGTCCCCGTTGCTACGTTTCTAAACCATCGTTCTTTAAACTCCATTGCGCGTTACAGAGATCTATCAGAGCTCTCGTCGAAGATTGCTTTTAGGTAAAATTGAAGAAAATCGATCGTTTCTGTAGAAATCAAATGTAGCTTTTGGAATGCGATGTAACGTATCGTTACGAAGAACTTGTTGGTGTTCGAAGGTACCTGGAACATTTCCTTACGGAAACATCGCAGATTCCGTTGTTCAAAATACGCGTTTTCTGATTGCAGTTAATCATACGACGTGAATTCTATAGATATTAGATATTTAAAAAAAAAAAAAAAAGAATCATACCGTTCGTTGACCCACGAAACTATCAATGTCAATCCAAAAAAACAACGATCCTCTATACATATACATATATTATATATAGATATAGATATATATACATATATCTCGTACTAGATAAGGGTAAAAGTTTATTGTCCTAGATGAGAGAACTATTTCAGTTCCACGTACTCTTTTCTCTATTTGTGATAGCAGTCGAAGGGGCCTTTGATTAACTATAAATAGATATTTCTTTGTACTAATTAAGATTTTTCCGCGATCATTGGTTAAAAGACAGCTGCAGAGGATCCGAGCCTACGGCACGAAAAACGGCTAGTGAGTTCCAAAGAATCGTGTTCAAAAATCCTCCTCTCTTCCACGTTTCTTCAATTACGCTATTACGTCCATTACAAAGTTTTCTTTCTTGTTCGTGTACGAACGATTGTGCTGATAACCAGTCGGCAACGATCGTTCGTATTACAATATGACCTGAACAGATTTATATAAATTTTAATTCGAGTGTGTAAAGTTAATTAAGGAAGGAATCGAAAAATGCAAATAAAAAATAATGCAATTTAAACGGAAAACGGTAACGTTTACGTCGCACCCGTTTGCGCTTTTGTTTTCAACAGATTCAGAGATAAGTTTATTTCTTATCTGTCTTTTATCCGACTTCGGATAAAGGAGGAGGATACTCAATTCGATCAGTATATTTTTTTTGTTTTTTTTTAACGAAGTTTCCTGCGTATTTATCATTGAATAAATAATGTGGAATCTGACGGTACCAGTTGTTGACCGTAGATGGCGTTACTATACCGTATTTTCACGTGAATCGCATATTGCATCAAAGAGGTTAGGTTTGTTGCGATTTGCACGGTGTGTGTGTTGTGTATCTTGAGAAATTATTTGGAAGAATGGCTAACGAACACGGAAACGATGAAAAGAATAAGAAAAGAAAAAAGAAGCGATCCCACGCACAGATGGCAAAAAAGTTTGCCCGACAAAGAAATCATGGATCAGATGTCGATGCTGAAACTTATCAATACATGGTGCGTATTTTCGAGCTGATGAAGGGTGATTTTCCCACTGCCGAGGAGAAACTGATTTTTGCAAATAACGTTTACGAACAAACGATAGGCCACGAAGTCGAATATGCTCGAAATCAGCTCGGATCAAGAATACTGGATTCGCTATTGAAATACGCGAACTTGGAAACGATTCAGAGGTTAGTCGACGCTTTATCCGGATCCAATTTAAGGCCGCTCAGCAGCGATAGATTCGCCAGTCACGTTTTGCAAAAAATCGTAGTGGTTTGTGCCGATAGAGGAAACGAAAGGGTGTCCGGGGAATCGAACAAGGAAGAAAGCAAGGATGCGAGCGTAAAAGTTGAGGAATCCGAAATCGCTTCTTACAACAATATCGCATTGAAATTATGCAGGTATTTCATAAACAACATGGAGGAATTTGTGTTCGATACGTACGCGAATCATCTTTTGAGGACCGTGATCGAGTGTCTTAGCGGACTAATCGACAAGCCCGACAATAGTAACAAAAAGAAATTAACGTTTGGGGAAAGGCGACCGGTAGTGGAAGAGTACAAAGATCTGTTGTCGCAGACTTGCAACAGATTACTCGGATGGCCACGGTTACTCGAGTTTGGCCAAGACGAACTTACGTCCGGATTATTGCAAAGCGTTTTGTACTCCTTAAAGGATGCGCATCCGGAGATGCTAGAACTGTACGTTCAAAAAATTACAAAGGAATGCTTTAAACCTGGTAAGGAACAGCAGTTGTCGAATATTTTCGACGCGGAATGTTCTGTCAGGTTACTAGAGGCTTGTTTAGCCACAGCGGAACCAAAGTCTTTGTATAAAATTTACCAAGACTACTTTCAAGGCAACTTGAAAGCGTTATCTCTCGAGCAGAACACAAATTTTAGCGTACAAAGGCTGCTGGATCATTGCGCTGTGAAGGAAGACTTCGAAAAAATCTTCGAGGAGATGTCTGCCTGTTTCCCGGAAATTCTCGAAAAGGGATATACCGGAGTGTTGGTAAGCGCGGGAAACGCGTGTTTGAAGTTGCAAATGAAGCAAGGTGCATTTGTGACGGAACTTCTAAGGACGCTTGGTTGCGAGACGAACGAAAAGCAGCGTGAAATCGTAGCATGTTTAGCTAGTCTAAAAACGTTGGAACAGCTGGAAAGTTTACGAAAAAAAGATGATTCCTATCCGGTTATCTGTTTACACGGGAGCTTGATCATTCAGACTATTTTGAATTTCAATAAACCCATCAAAATTGTAAACTCGTTGCTGGAGATGAACGAGGAGGAACTAACACGAATACTGGAAGATCCTAAAGGGAGCCGTATCGTGGATGCTTTTATGGAGAGCAAGTTCATAGGTGAGAAGAGCAGAGAAAAATTGGGGAAGAAATTCAAAGGATACTGGGCACAAATGGCATCCACCACCCACGGTTCCAGATGTTTGGATAAGATGTGGCAGTGGGCTCGTATAAATCAGAAAACTTTGATTATGGAAGAGTTGGCAGCAGTCGGAGAATCTTTGCGATCTACGAAATCTGGACAAATAATCTCCAATAAACTGAACGTGCCGTTATTTGCCAGGAACAAGAAAGACTGGACGGAAACTCTGGGAAAAGAAGAGAAAACGAAAGCTCTTTTCGCGGGTATAATAGGTGAATCTGTAAAGAAGAAATGACGCGTTTCTCAATGAGAAACGAGTATAAATTTCACATAATTTGCGTTAAATAAACGTTGAATATAATATGTATGAAGTAAGGAAAGAAATGCGTTATGACATAGAATAGTTAATGTATTTCGTAAATTCATAAATACAATTGATAGAATCCATCATACATCCCCGCAACGCAACGTAGCTAGGAAAACATACAACGACTCGTAATCTAGATTTGAGCAAAGTTCCCTAAACGCGAATGATCGATAAGTTCGCCTCAACTCTCGACAGTGACTAGACTTGTAAATGTATACAACGTATTACATCTGGACGCGTACAAAATAAAAGGTAAAAGGTCGTAGTTGCTTTGACGATCGCATTATTCGTTGCAATCGTAAAATTGACTAGCAAACGATCAATATAGCGTGCGAAAAGCTGGCTATATCATTTTCACTTACGAAATTCGAGTGAAACCAAAGTCGTAACAGGGTAATCCGATTTGATGGAATATCGAATCGAATTATAACAAAATCGCGTAGTTCGCAAACATTTGCTACGATTACTTCGACGAGAAGTAAGAACAGTGATTTTCGCGATCACGTTGGTCTTTTTGCAAAAAAAAAAAAAAAAAAAAAAAACGAACGTTCCCTTGCCTGTTAGGCGCATAAAGAGAGCATAACATGTATATGTATATCTCGTTAACCTGGTTATCGTAACGATTACGATTATCGGATCGTTTGTTTCTTTGGGCGGCATTATTTCTTCTCGTTTCTTCGCACGGAAATAGAATTACTTCCGATTTATAATTATTTCTCGTATTCGATACTTGCGGTGTTATTATTATTGCTTCTTCGAATCATCTACGATCCGAAACTGTACATATTTTCAGTTTCTTTCTAATTTAGCGTTTCGATCGAACACCGATACAACATATGTACATGCACCGCTGCTTTCGCTACTCTAACGAAGAAATTTGTCGAACGATGAAACAGAACGATCGTAGAGGGTACAAACATGAATGCTACCTCAAAGATACATCTTCGATGAAGAAGGAACAAAGTTTCTCATAGAAAGTGTGCAACGACATAGGATGGATTGCAAAGAGAATGTGGTCGAAAAGGATAGAAGGATGGGAAAGACAGGAGCAGAAGATGTATGATTCGGTAAAGAAGAGACGGTCGAATAATTAACGCGAATCGTGTTGGATCGAGCTAGTGAATCTTCGAGGATGAGATTTCGCGTGATGACGTCACTTCCCTTTGGTGGTAACACCGGCTGCTATTGGCGAGGCGACTGTCGCTTCGTTAACGGTGGTCGAGAGGCCGCCACTGGCGACCCTAGGAGGACTTCGGGATGTCGATCTTCGAGGTTCGCGATGCGGAGGATTGTTACAAGTGGCGTGATGACCTCCTGCTTCCCAGTCGCGATGCTGACAGAAGGAACCGCAGTACCGTGCAATTCCGCAGCCACCGCAAGTCTCCAAAGCGGGTCTACCGCAGTTCCAACAGCTCTGGAAGGATGAACGGGTTAAGGTGGCGAGTTGGTTCATTGCATCGATGACGAAGGAGGAAAAGAGATACTTACGGATCCGGAGACGGTTTGTAAGTGCGACTCTTTTTCATCTTCCGTGGTCGACGGTATCGAATTTGAAACGCTAGTCGGTGTTGTAACGGTTCTGGGACTCGTGTCCACTGCGCCGGGGTTACCGTGGACGCGTAGATACGGTCCTTGACGAAGAGCACCGTGATTTCGCTGAGACAACGGAGTGTCGAGTAATCGATGAACTCGCAGCCGTTCGTTCGTCCTCGTTTCGGCCACTGCTGCTCTCACGGCGCGCTGGACTTCCGCCATCACAGCCCTTTTCACCGCTTCTTCTGCGATACAACGAACAAAAGTGTAACGAAACGGTACAGTGGAATATCGAGAGAATTAGAAACCGACTGACCATCCTTCCTCTGCAATTCTGCGACCTTGTCTTCGATGGCTCTGATGGTCTGGGCTACGATCTCTCCGGACAATCGCTTCAAACTACCCTCGCGATCCCCGGTCGAAGACTCTACCTGAGAACCATTCGTCGAGGATGGATTGTTGACGGTAACGGTATTACTGTTTCCGTTTTGAGCCCCGACCGGAGTTGGAGGTACCGTCGCGGCTGGACCAAAGCAACCGCGAGTCTGCAAAATGGCCAAGGCTTTCTTCGTCTTCTCCACCATACCGAGGATACAGTTTAACATCATATGAATGTTTTTCCACTCGTCATCGAGGCTTCCGTTTTGCGTTTGGACATGGCTCATCTGCTGCTGCTGCTGTTGCGGCTGCTGAGCTAGATGATGGGATCCAGAAAATGGGTTCATTTGATTCATTTGCACGGGATTAGGCGGTATTGGACTAGGTCCATGGCTGTGACCATGTCCGTGACCGTGTACATGACCATGACCATGACCATGTCCATGGCCGTGATTGTGACTGAGACGATGCCCGTGGCTTTGAATCGATCCGCTCGACGAATGCAACGGATGGTACCAACAGTAAGGGGATGAACCATCGGTAGAGGGTTGTTGCTGTTGCGGCGGATGATGATGACTCCAGGGATTCGTTAGCCTCTTCCCGTACATCGGGATGTCGTCGAGTAGAGCGCCGTTTTCGTAGTACCTATAATAGTTCATCCGCTAGCAACCCTTGATCGTAGACTAGTTACTGAGCTATAGTCTATAAGGTGAAGCGGAGGTATTAGCAGGGCGCGGATAGGAAGTGAAGGCAAGTTTGCCGGTATTCGAAGGGTAGAGAATAGAGAGACTCTGGCGGCGGACGAGGAAGAGAGGTAGGGCGAGCGAGGGTGTTCGAGAAAGGTGGTACGCCGATGATATATGGAAACGTCACCAACAGACGTATCGAGAGGAGGCCAAGCCGGCACTGCTGGCGCGCAAGTCGCCTTTTGTCGCCTTCGAATTCACTTTGGTAGCCCTTTTCCGTATACACGCGTGTATCGCATATAAACCGGAAACACTGATGTCTGATTAGCCGCGATCTTTTCAACTCGCTCGATTAATCGAAGCGAAGAACCGACAGAGCGATTTCAACGTGGCGATCCGTTCGGGGACCCGCTGTGTCGGACGGGAAATAACGGCGAGAAATGCAGGCTCGCGGCCAAGATTTTTCTCAAATACCGGCACATTTGCGGCTTGGCAAATATACTACGCACGCGTGTACGCGCAGGTTCCTGGCGTTCGTTGTCGCGTGAATTATTGCTATAGATGACCAAAGATTCCGCCTGGTCTTGTCCACTTTCGGACCAATTTACACCGCAATTTACGCGTCTCCGATACGGTTTACCGTCGTTCGCCGACCAGAAAACGAGCCCAGAACCCTGAACGGTGTAAAGCGATAAAGCGATGCGAAAGAATAATATACGGTTCAACTCACGGGGTGTCCGAGGCACGACGCTTCGGCGCGTGCGACGCGCTACCGGAATAATGATGCAGATTGGCTGGCGTGTTGTTCACGTGAGGATTACCACCAACACCGGGATTAGAATTAGACCGCATCCCGTAATGAGCGGAACACTGATTGCCGCCGTTTCCAGCGTGTTCTCCAAAAACTTCGACCGACTCTCCAGGGGATACTAAGCCGACGGCCTCCAGAATTGCCGCCTCGTTCGATCGCAAGAACTGCGCGCAACTCTGTTAACAAAAGATATATTTTAAATCGCGTGTATTTCGACTGATTGTGAGCGGATCTGAATCCGCGGTTATCGTTCACTTCATCTGCTCTTGCGACGTGCAACGCGAACGAAATTAGCGTTACATTACACGCGTAGTACGCACCCTTACGAAACGTGCGAGTTGGTAAACTCGATGGATATCGGAACACGAGCCTCCCACAAATTGGATCGAATCGAAACGACCGCTGAAGCCGGGACCATGTTTCACTTTCGATTCCCAATATTCGGTTAGCAGCATTTTTACGAGTAACACCTTTACGGGCAAACTTTCCAGTTTGTTCGCTCGACGGCCAAGTCTGGTTTGGCAGGGTAGGATTTATCGCTTCTAATTCGATATTGGAAGCTCCGTTCGTCTTTGTTCCTCGAGGTCGCATTTCTCAATTAACGATCATCGATCGGTCGCTACGATGCACGCGTTTCAACAGGCTTCCGGGTTCTCGTTCGGTTTGCTAAGCACCGGCTACTCGGTTTCCACGCGAATCCAAACAGACGCGAGTGGAAGGGTGCGCTTCTGCGATGGAATTTGCCTTTACCACCGTTCTCTCGATCCTTTGTCATTCTAGCTACCTCGAGAAATGTAAATCGTAGCTATTAATTTGCAATTCGTTACCGCGCCACCCATTCCTTCGCACTGGTAACCCCTCTTCGTTCTGCCATCTTTTTCTTTTCGCTCTCTCGTGAGACAGGCAACAGCTGGAGGCAGCGACGTAACCGAAAGACTTTTATCAATTCGTCGAGGCAAACTTTGTTCTTTTTTATGATTCCTTTCGGTTTCAACCTTAATCGGATCGTTCTTATTGTGCATCGAGATATATCAAACTCGCGAAAGATCTTTATTTTCTAAGAAAATTTATTCCGAAAATTCGAAGAATAAACGAAAGAAGAAAAGTGAAAAAGTAACGAAATACGTTTGGAAAGGCAGGCAGTTGGAGCTGTTGGTCTTCACGTTCGATTCGTCCATCTATCTTAGCGTGAAACGGGGCTGCCATGCTCCCAGCCACCCACTGATTCGCGAAGTAGCCTGGGAAATTAAAACAGGTCGGCAGCCGGTCAGCTCCGCTTCTGTTGATTTTACTCGCTACTCCTGAACGCGTTTTCTCTCCACCGTCTCCGTCAAGCAAACTTTAACGAGCGTGTGTGTAATATAACTCTAATCTATATCGGACCACGACCGAACGATGTGAACATTGGATACCCAGGCCCGCTTGTTCGCGATCATCTATTCTCGTCTTTGCGATCGAGCACGTTTCATAACGCGATTCTTTCCGTTTTCTCCACCTTTCTTCAATCTTCTCTGCTTCCCTTTAACAAGTAACTCTCTTTACGAGTCATCTTTCACTGTTCGCGTATCTCTTGCGAAAAGAAAAGCTCGTGTTCCAATCGTGGCTCGTCAATCGGTTACGGAAACAACTGGAAAAAAGAAGAAACTCACCTGATTGCTCGTTCTAGCGGCGTTGCTCAGGTCTCTTTGCAACGAAGGTAATTGTTGCTTCAAGTGCGGCAGTACGAAGCCTTTAAGGGAGTAGTTGGTCGCTTCCTGTAGCGCCGAGTGAAATTCTTCTGCCGTCATACCGCCGCTCTGTAAAAACGAAAGAGTTCGTTGCAGCCCCTCCAGCACGAACGGTTACCTTTATCAGGAGCGTGTAATTTCGATTTCGCTTTTGTCAAGCGGCGTGCGATCGTTACTACTTACATTGAGAAATATGACAGACTCACACATACAACTCGCAATCTAGAAATCCACGGTTCAAATCCTTGATTCCCAACATTTTTTCTTTTTTTTAAATGATAATTTGTCTCTTTTTGAATAACTATTACATAAAAATTATCATTAAAAAAAAATTTTTTTTGGAAACCCAGGATTTGAACCGAGGACCTTCAAATTGCAAGTCACGGATCTGCTCAGTGGTTAAACACATGACTCGTAATCTGAAGGTCCTCGGTTCAAATCCTGGGTTCCCGTTTTTTTTTTTTTTTTTTTTTTTTTTTTTTTTTTTATAATGATAATTTTTATGTAATAGTTATTCAAAAAGAAACAAATTATCATTAAAAAAAAAAAATGTTGGGAACCAAGGATTTGAACCGTGGATCTCTAGATTGCGAATTGTATGTGTGAGTTTGTCATACTTCAGAATGTAAGGAGTAACTATTTTAAACAATTAGCCGTCTGCCCACAAAACGGGGTATAGGCATGTTCAGCTCGACGAGTTCTACAAACTGGCAAAGTTTCATTAATAAGTGAGTGTAACACTTGGGTAGTTCTCCTTGTTAGTTCGCGTAGTTTTCGACTCGACGAGAAGGGATGGTGGGTAAAAAAAAGGTATAAGAATTACCAGTAGTGCCAACACGAGGGTGAGCACAGTGTCGCCGGTGTCCGGAGATATACCGGTGGCGAATTTCACGACGGTGCCGAGCACGCTTTTGAGCTCGGTGTGGCCGGCGAAAACACCGGCGATGCATCTGCTACCGGTGCTGTTATTCGACGACACAGATACATCGCTTTGCTCTTCCGTCCTACACCCGGTAGCAGCTCCTGCATTGGCACTTCCATCGCTACCACCGTTACCGCCATTACCACCGCCTCCAGCACCGATCGCATCCTCGAATTCCGGTTTCAGTGGGTGCGAAGGTAAAGGACTGTCGTTGTCAGAGGATCTCGAGCAAGCGGTTGCGCCTTTGTACTCGCACCGCAGACCGTTGCTCTGCTTTTGTTGATTGCTGGATGCAGCAGTTGGAATCCTTTGATGATGAGAAGGTGGCGAGTGTACTTCCGATTGGCCCTCTTCCCGCGTCGCTTTCTCTCTCGCCGTGGAACTTGCTGCAACAAAACATCTTCCCTTTTCTTCCCCGTTTCGTAACTTTGACTCGACTGATTTCGATTCAATCTCGAGCACGTACGATTTATTTCGGTAGGTAAATTATAAAGAAGATTCGAAGCAAAGAGACAGGGTGGTCCTTTGTGCACGGTAGATCCGGGGAGGCAGCCGTCAGGCACGAGCCACGTGAAACGGGCAGGCGAATCGGCCACTCGTTTACAAACACGTTGATAGGGCGGACACAGAGGAGCACCGGTGTACTTGGGGATGCACGTCAAGCGACGGTGTACTCTGTGCGTGGGTGCAGCGGATAACATGCAATTACGGGCCGTGTCATCCACCTTGTCTTGTTCCCGCTCCCGTTCCTGTTTCCGTTCCCGTTCCCGTCCCGATCCCCTTTCCAACCCCTCCCGACCGCGCGTTATCTTGCGAAATGCCTCCGGCCCCGTACCGTGCGTGCCAAAACGCCGCCATAGAACGCGTATGCCGATAACGAAAGGTTACACAGTGATCCGTCCTCGCCTCGTTTCGCCCAACGAAACGTCGACTGACAGCCCTGGCTTCGTTAAACCAAACAAACGACCGCGCTCTGCTCTCTGACATTTTCTTTCGCTTCACAGTTTAATCTAGCCACGCGCCTTTTTTTTCAACATCCACGTTTACGTTATAGAACGATTTTCTGCTCGTTGACAAAGATACCGAACCGCCACCAGTTCGGACGAGAACCTCGAGAAGAGAGGGTAAAACGATTCAAGAACGAGTATTCTCGCGTGTCGGTGCGTGTGAATTCGTAACACAGGTAAGCGAAGGGAGGGACAAGCGGGAGGAGGTCGCCGGTACCGTGTCACTGCCACCTGACGCCGGTAGCCAAGGGGTAATTACCTGTACCTGAACTCTCGGCGAACTAAACTACCTCGTGAGTACAAGTTACACCCATGGCGAGCGTTTCCGCTTCCTTCGTCGAATCGACTTTGCAACCTCGCCCCGCCCAACCACTCGACCGCACAATTGCCGTCTCGATCCGACGATTTTTCAATCGTTAAACGCGAAACACTTCTTATCTAATCCGACGCGACGTTTGATAATTTACTGCAAATTTTGACCGGGCAACAGTCGCGTTCGCGTGGAAATATTTGTTGTGGAAAGTCGATTAGTTGGACAGAGGGGGAGGAAGTTTGAAGCTTCGCGTCGGGGGGATCGTGGGGTGGGTGGACGCGAGGGAGTACGCGAATCGCGGAGCTCGCGGTGACACCTGGAACGCACGCAAAGCAGCGTAGAAGCTGCTCGTTGTCTTTGCAGACGACCGTCCCACCAACACCGACAGAGAGATCGATAAAGCGCACGTGCTCCACTCGGCTGAGAGTCCCTGGCTGGAAGTAAGTGCGCTGGGACTCAGCTGTCGCCTCCTAATTGCCGGGACAATGCAACAGATGGCTTTGATCGCAATCCCTTCCTAGTCACCCCTTCCTCCCTGACGCCCACCCTACTTCCTTCATTCCTCCTATTTCCTTTCTTTTCTCCCTCCTATTCTATACATAGCTACACGTATATTCTTTCATCCATTTCAAAGCATTTTTCTTTCCTCATTCTACTTCCTTCGCTAATTTTCCTTTTTCCGGTTTAGCGGAATTTTCGTTAACTATCGCGTTTCGATGCTCTCCGAAAGTGGAATTTCGAATGGGTCGAGTGAAATCGGATTTACCGGAAGACGATTTTAATATCTTCTCGGCTCTCGGGTGTAAGGCCATTTCCGCGAATCCTAATAAAGTTTGCCGAATCCGAGCGCCACTTTTCAGGGGATCGTACCGCTTAAAACTCGAGCACCCAGTGTATTCGCAGACGGTTGGGCGCGTTCGCGTAAGCAGGACGGATGTGGTTCGCGAAACTCGTTCCTGTTCCTTACGTCGTAAGCATATCCAAAGGGAAGAAAGTGCGAGGAAGCGAGCTAGCGAACGACCAAGTACGGCCCCGACTATCGCAAAATTGTACCTCGAACGGCAACGTCGGGGATGCCGACGGTGTACCGGATATGATATCAGCCTCGAGCAGAATCCCGCTGGAAGTGTTGGACGTGCCTTATCGCGTCTGGTCCAGGCAGTCAGCCAGCGCACGAACCGACCTAACCAACACACCGAGCCCAACCAACCACCCAACCAACGAACCAGCTTGACTGACTGTTCGCAGGAGTTTCACCATCCCCCTGTGGTGCCTTCTGCGATCGCGTTTCCCTTCCTCGCGCACGCTGCACTCTGCACACATACTCCCCCAAGATCGTGCACGTGCTCCTTGCCACCCTTCCTCTCCCTTTCGCCACCTTTCATTCGTAGATCCTGCGACCGAGTAAACAAGCATTCTCAAAGAAACGCGTCGACGGGAATACGTTATAATTGAACTATTAATCGTAAGTAAAACTTGGTAAAGGTTTCGATTTTCTTTTTATTCGATAGAACGGCAAAATTTGTCAGGATCTGGAATGAAATCTTGGTCTCGAATCGAAAGAACGAGGCGACACGGTGCGGCGAACAGAGACGGAGTAAAGTGCCGTTCGATCGGGAGGACGGCTCTTTGACGAGAGAAGCGGGCATTTTTCCTGAGCCATTTCCAAAGTAGCTGCGGGTTGCCGGTCGTCTAGATAACCGGTTCGCTCTAAACGTACGATCTCGTCGGCCGAGAGCCCACCAGCGGACAGAATATACGGGTACCCCTATGCGTTGTTCGAAACTAATGTTCCTCGTGGGCATAGCTAAGCCGAGGAACGTTTTCGCGGCCGTAAAATGTTCTCGTTCGCGGCTGTATTCTTTCGAATCGAAAGCTTCGTTTCTCTCACTCGGATCGGTAGGATCGAAGAAGAGGGGAAAAAAAGTAAAATAGAGGACGCACCCTTGGCCTTGGTCTTGAGATCGAGATCGACGGGGAACGGATCGGCGTTGGCGAGGTGCGAAGGTGCCGGCGTGCTCGGATGACAAACAACGGCAGTACTGGCAGGGGATGCGTTCGGTAGTGCGGTGGTCGACGGTGCGGCTACCGCAAGGTGGCTGGAAACACCATTTCCGCTTCCGTTGTCGCTGCCGGTATCGTTGCCGCTACCGTTGCTGAGGGTGGTGACGGTGGTGGCGTGGGTGCTCGCACTCGAACCCGTCACCGTTGCGATGCCCGAACTTCCCGACGAGGTCGAACACGTCGACGACGATTGCTGATAACCGCAGCATTCCTTCGTCTCCTCCTTCACCTTCACCTTGTGCAGGACCGTGGCGGCTGCCATTCCACCCTCCGCTTTCATGCCCGTCCGCCAACAGCTTGCCTGTTCAACATTCGATCCATTGATTCGCTATCGTTTCCTCCATCAACGATATTACACACTTTGTTTATTCCTGTCTCCCGTTGTTTCGCATTTTTACGACAAGTTTACGCGAGCCGTTTGAAAAAAATCAAAGCGTCGGCGTCGCGTCGCTTCGGGAGGCAAAGGGAATTGGGAAACGAGCAAACCGGGATGCGTATGCGCGACATCGCGACCACGATTCGCATTTGATCGATTCCATTTCACGATTGCCGCGGTCGCATATTTCGTCTACGTGCTCGTCCACGAGCACTCCACGGTGCATACCGATGACTGATTTTAATGGAACGACCAAGCAGCAATTTTACGAAGCAGCGCAACCGGCCAGAACGTATCGCGATTCACCGACTCGCTCGGAATATTCGACTAATTGAACGTTCCCCAGCACCGGTTGCAGTTACGCGACAAAGAAGCGTCCAATACAAAGCGTTCGGTGTCGATACGGACAAGATTACGAGAATGGAAATTAGACGGAAGAGAAGCGGCGAGTAATGTTTAAGATCCACGTGGCGCGCAGCTCCCGGTAGGTAGAGGAGGAATTTTATTTTATCGGAGCACAGCCCTACCTAGTCGCCGGCTGGTTGCCTTCGGTGCCACATGGTCTCGTTATTAACGTGAAATGCAAACGAGCCGTTCCTTTCGTCCAAGAAACTACCCCCTGCACGACTGGCTATAATAATTTTTTACTGGAAAATCGGCATTGCCCAGCCCGCCTACTTCTCACTGCCCACTGCCCGTGATTTAACCTATATAACCCTTTCATCGCGAATACCGTAGGAACGTTTGATATTTTCAGCCCGGGTTTTGCCGGTAATCGGCTTTGCAACAAATAAATAAACGACATCGTCGATCGCCTCGAGCGTGCAACTTTTACGACGTATAATTCCAGTTAAATTAACGCGACTACAAACGACAGCTCCACGCTTTACCGTTCGTTGTCGTTAAAGTTTTTCAACGTCGAAGGAAAGTAATTATCGCGATTAATTTTCGTTTACTACAACCAGCAGGCGAGGCCGGTTTTACGATTAGCAACGAAAGCGTCCCTTTTCTTCGCTGTCTCGAAAATACGAGATGGATACCGGTAAGATTCGACGCAAAAATGATTCGCGAGTGCGGATCGTTGGCGTTTATCGCAACAGATGGCTGCGATAATTTTAATCGTCGCTACCTCCCTCTGTTGTTACAGGTATACGCGATTATCTAAAGCATTCTCCGCACTTGCTCGATTTTCCGATTTTTTCGCGACCGAACGGAGGAAGAAACACAGCCGGTGGATCGTTGCGAGTCCTCGTTGGCGGGTAAAAGAGGGAAAGCGTTCGTTCGTGTAGGATGTAGGAGGACGGAGACGCGCGTTCGTGGCAATTCGTTAAGACGCTTAGTTGAGCAAACAAGAGCAGAGTCGGCTGGAAACGATATACGTGCCATAGCAGAAAATCCACGGCTCTGCCGTTGGTAATTACGTTTCTCGCGCAGCTGTGTGCCGCGCACGGATATAAACGCGAGCTCACGTACTCGTTTTTCCGATCGAACGCGCTGCACCGTCTACGATGGGGTTACGATTATTCACTGCCGGTTCGAGTCGCGTTCCTTCAACCACCACCGGTGACATTGATGGATCAAAAAGCGTAATTCTTGGAGGCAGGGATAACCGAAGAAGAGTTAAGGAGAAAAAGGTGCGGATCGATGGTGGACGCGTTTCGAAGGAAACGGCTTCGGCACCGCGGCATCGCGGCAGACTGAGCTTATGTTTATACATATGTCCTGCACATGGTACGATGCTGGTTGGAGAGGTGGTCGGCGCGGGTGGAGACGCAATTTCCAATATTAGAACGGCCAGGCAGAACAGGAAGGCAAGGCAAGGCAAGCCAACCCAGACCAGATGTCTACCGCGTTCGCTATCGAGAGCGCGACGTACGTTCAGCTTGCTTTCATTACAAAAATGTCACGCACAGCAACCGTGTGTCTTCTTGCTCGCACCGTCCTTTGATGATGCACCCTCACCCTTCTCTCTCTTCTCCCTGCAGTCACCGCGTAAACGGGAAACTCAGCCGTCACGGACACCGCGAACGGATCGCGTTCAGTTATCGGAGGTGCACCGCGAATCGTGATTGCGAATCGTCCGCGACAGAGGTTCGCGCGTAAAATTTGTTAGATGGTATTTGGTCGCGTGGTCCCGCGGTCTCGTGGTCGTTAACGAAACTCGGTCATACGCGTCTAGGATAACGCTCGCAGGTTACGCGGCTACGACGTCGAAGCACTCGGCTTACGATTATTTCAGCCGGCTGCATTACGAACGTGTCACGAACAGACGCGTTCGCTTCGGACCGGCATTTGACGTTTCGCTCGTCGAGCACGCCTGCCCGGGTGCCGACTATCGCGCGACCAGTTGTTTCAGAAAAAACGAACGTCAAGAGAAATCGTGTTGCGTTTGAAAAAAAGGGAGAAGTCCGGTTGATCCGAGGACCCGTTGAATTTACCAATCGTTTCGTCTTGATCGACTAAAACTAGAAAGTCGTTGATTAGCTTTCGAAGGAAAACGAGCGCGCGTCAACAGCGTGTTGGAGAGAACGATCGATCGACTCTCAATCTATCTAGAGACATCGAACGACGCAGGTACGCAGCTGTGTCTACGATGCGTTCGTCAATTTATCGGTTTTACAAGGAAAATCGTAGTTGCAGTAGGAAAGACGGATCGATGCAAAGCGGACGTTGCCTCTGACGGAATAGCCGGTGTTCTCAGCAGTTTAGTTTTTCGAAATGAAGCGAAATCTCAAAGTCTGCCGCGTTTGAAGCGCGAAATCTGTCCGCAACACCTGACTGGCAACGCACGGGCGAAACAGAGAGAAGCAGCTAGGTGTTTCAGCCTTTCACAGGGCGAGAGAGAAATAGAAAGAGAAAGGGAGAGATGGAGCAAGATTAATAATATAGGAAAGCCAAAGCCATGCCACCCTCAGACAAGCTTTCCACTGACTCTCTTCTGTTGCCAACAGTTAATCGATATAATACTTGAAAGCATAACGAACCAACGACGGCGCGTGTCTCGCCTACCTACCTACCTACATACCTGTCTATCTACGAACGCACACGCTGCGTCAACCTTACCTTTGCTTTCCGCGTTCGTCGCATCTTTCGATCTCTTCCCGTCCGATTATCAATCGAAACGATAGTCTTCCTATATCTAGAAGGAAAGAAAAATCGCTCGATTCGATCGATAATCGGGCGTTTCATCGGTTCTGCGTCATCCTTCGATTAATTTAGCCAGCGCAAGGAACAGCCGTTTCCACGGACAAAAACCGACGAATTCGTAGAAGGGTATTATTGCGGCTACTGCCATTTGCCTCGTGCTTACTCACACCTTCGCACTTTACAGCAGCAACTCGTGGCCCAACTGAACGTTCGCCTAGCTCACCGAAATTACTTTGCTACTCTCGGACTACGAGCAAACACGATAGCGAGAGAGAAATATTACAAAGACGGTACGAGCTAGAAATATTTGTTTCGAGGAAACCGATTATTGGCAAACGTCGTGCGAAAACAAGCACCTGACGATTTTCGTATTTCGCTCCTTATTTTCACCCCTTATTTCCCTCCTTCCGCTCCGAAGAAAACTCGAGTTTCCTCGAGCACCGTTCGGTTGCCGGTTGCTTGCCTTCCGGCGCTTTCTCCCTTCTTTCATCCTACTCGCCACTCTGTTCCATTCCGTTCCGTTCCGTTCTGTTCGACACACGTGCGCGTACGAACCTCTATCAATCACAACAAGGAACTCGTCTCGCGATTCTTACGATCGTCGTTCGAGGATCCTCGATCTTTCTCGTTTCCTTTCCGATAGATCGAAATCTTCGATCGGAGAATATTCAAATAACACCGGCAGAAATTTCGTATCTTTGAACGCGTGGGGAAAAATTGATGAACCGGCAATTTTCGAAAGTTTATCACAGAAAAAGGATACGAAACCGTTGCTTACCTCCGCTCTGATCGGCGCAAAAAATCCAAGCAGCCGAAGCAAAAATTACGAAGCGAAGCACAATTTATCGATCGAAATCTCACAAACGGATCTAGCGCGATCGCCGCGATCGACGACGAACGACGGCGCGTTTCATCGCGCATCCACGAACAGGGATGTTTTCGCGCGAATCGAACGCCGATCGTGCACCAAACGCGTAATACTGATCTGGAAAAGTTTCGCGGGAAGACGTGAAACGGAAGGCGCGACAGGAAGGAAGACGAAGCACGGACGGCTGTCGCGAGCCGACTGAACGTCTCGTCGGAGGACGGGAAGAAGAGAACGACGCCGGGCGGCCGCGGCCCGCGGCCCGCGTCGCAGCAAGAGAGGTGGTGGCCTGCAACCTCCACCACGCAACCCCTGCACGCCCGAATCGAGCTTGCACCGTCAATTTTATTCTTCCATCCAGCCTGATCCTCGATACAACGATCCCCTCGTCGACGATCGGTCGATGATCAAGGAAACGATCAAGACAGATCTATCGAGCCACCGATCGAGCGCGTTTCCCCGCTGATCGAACGTTACCCTCGCCTTTGCGAGGATATTGTAAACGGGCCAGTGTGCTCCTGACGCGTCCATATATTCCCGCGAAGAAAGCCTCTGCCGTTGAAGCTGAGAAATAGCTCACCTCCTCCTCCTCCGCCATCTTCTCTTTCACCTCTTCCGTCTTTATCCTCGTGACGCCGCGTCGCACGGATTCGTAACCATCTGTACCGAGACGCGAATCTTTCGCGATATCACGATCGCAGAATTTTCACCGCGAAAAATAGAATGGAACGAACCGCTGTCGGAAAGAAAAAGCGTGGCGAACGAAACGGAAGAAGCAAAAAACGACCCAATTCATTGACGAGGGGGATCTGTTCGACGTTCGGTATCGATCTCGAGTACCTATCTTCGAAAGCCAGAATCGACTGCGTGCTCGTCGATGCTTCACGTTCTATCGTTGGAAAAATCGGGGAACCGGATCGGGAACGGAAAGCAGCTACGAGTAGGTAGGTGTGCGCGAGAATATCTATCCCTATATCCATCCCCATCCCTGTTTATCGGGAGAAATTCATGCGCGGCCACACGGACACAGGCGCGCTCGTCCACCAGCCTATTATACGTATTATTAGCACTCCGTCACGCTCCTGTCATCGCCACGTACGCTTTCCTACGCTTCTCTACGTGTGCGCGCGTCAACGCGCCGAAATTCCTGAATAACCTTCACCACTTCCTACCTGTCCCTCCACAATTTTCAACAACACTTGCCGATATCGAAATTTCCCTTCCTTGTCCTCCTCCTCTTTCTCTTCTTATCTCCATCGCTCTATCTCTCTTTTTTTTTATTTTTCTCACATACAAGTACCTGAGCTTCGAAGAAAGATTTCCTATCCGACCAAATTGATCCTCGTATCGGTCGTGAAGCTGTCAATTTGCTAATTAAAATTTCAAATAATACCTGTTTCAATTGCAACGCAGAATAATAAGGTCGATTCGTAGGCAAAGTTTTGATTGTGCGGGAATCGGCCGTAAGTTTGAACGGCCGATACCGTCACTCGCAGACGAGTCGAAGCCACGTTTTACACGACGCGACGATCGAAAGCGGATCCTAACACTCTGCGGGCATTCGTAATTTACGAGTTACCGGCTCCGCTCGGGCTAATTTTCGTGCTGGTGAAAATTACACCAACGCGGGGCTGGTGCTCTCTGCGACGAGCGAGAGACAGAGAAAGCCTCTCGTTCCCTCCCACTTTTCTCTTTCACTCCCTCGCCCTGAAAGTGACGCAAAATCGTGCTGCCGGCACGGGCTGGCTTGTACCGAGATGTCGATAGCACGAGGAGCGGATGTCAATAGCACGAAGTCGCTCCTCTCGCGAGGGAGAAACCGCGTCAACCGATTTTACAGGATTTTCGCGGTAACGCTAGGAGAAAACCCGCGATCCTTCTCGATCGTTCGCTCTGGATCCCAAGTTGACGCGGTGTTTGCGCGAATCCTCGTGTCTCGATGAACCGAACTTCCAAGGAGAAGGCGAAACAACTTTTCAATAGCTCGCTTTTTGCCCCCCAGATACGAATATAGCAGCCCTTGCAACCGTTCGATCCGAACCGCTGCCGGTGACACTCTCTCCGCGGCTTTAACCCGCCATACTTCCAGCTGGCTTTTGTATTACTTTACACGACGAAGGCTGTTCTCCTTGTCATCGAGACGCAGTGAGTACCTATCGCACCTTCCAAAATTCCTTTCTCTCTCTTATACACCTTTCAAGTTAACCACGAATAAAGGATATTGCTCCAAAAATGAATTTATGCTACCAAGTGATACGCTTCCACGAATTATTGAAAAGTAACTCCCAAGGCAGTTGTATGACCAACTCACCGTCAACACAGATATCATAATATAAACACATCCTAGTCATAGTTTCAGCTCATTTAGCTTCCTGTACCCAGTTATCACTCTTACCCCTATATATATATATTGGTACCCAAAATACTTTGGGTCAGATCTCTGTAGTTTGTACCAGCGTGCTGTTCTTGGTTGTTGGTTTTAATTCCCCAATCCGGAATTCAACACAGTTGTCCACTGCTTTCGTAAGTCTTCCTATCGGCTCTGCAAAAGTTCGAATTTCCAGCTGACGCGTTACGACGACAGCTTCTCGGTTCTAAGATATTCATTTTTTGGCTCGTTTCAGACTAGCCTGCTTTGTGTCCCGCGTTGA